CTCAGACAGGTTGAGGATTTTCCTGCCACAGCCTGAATTAAATGGTCACCCAATAGGAACGAGACGTTCTGGTTCTGATCAGTCTGGACAGTTTGGCTGTTTGGGTCGATCACATTATGAGCTTTAAAACAAAAAAAAACCTGAATGTATCTTGTTGCAGCAGATGATTGTAACTTATTACATTTTTTGTCAATAATCGTCATTAATCGTAATTAAATGAACAGTTTTATATAAACATCTTAATCCTGTTGCAGTTTTCATCCAGAGAATATTTGCAGATTGTGGCAAAATGACGTCTTTACATGACTTTAAATTAAAATAAACCCTTACGACAGCGAGTTAGGGCCATGGAGATAGAAGAAATCAGGAAAATATTTACAAGAAATATGAAAATATTCTAGAATAAACAAGGAAAAGTAAAAAAAAAAAATTTACTCAAAAATGAAAAGAAAAATTAAAATATTTCTGACTTTTTTTTTCTTGCACATTTTTGACATGAATGTAAAAGCATCAGAGAATTTTTCAAAATGTTTGATTCTTTAAAATTTCTGAGTTTTTCTAGCAAATTTTCAACTTTTTTAACTCACAGAAGTCCTTTTCTTTGTAAACTCATTTTCTTAGATTAATCTCTTCATTTTTTACTGTTTTCTTAAGCACATTTTTGACTTGAAACTGAAATTTTGAGATTAATCTGAGAAATTTCCCAGAACAAAACCACAAAAATGTCTGAGATTTTTGGCAGTAGCTTACTTTCTTTGTTTCTATCTATAGTAAAGCCTCCGTCATGCCGAGTTCCCATTTATACAGAAATAAATATTTAATTTCCACGTCCATAAAGCAGGTTGATCTTTGATTTTGTCTCCTGCTGGTTGCAGACAGAAAGGCGCCGTTAGGGGACAGTCTTCACCGTTTCTATTCTGGCTCTTGCAGCTGCAGCTTCTCCATTTTCAGTTCCTGGAGAACCTTTTCGCTTTTTCATGTGACGCATAAACCTGTGAGCAGAGTTCAGAATGTCGCTGCCTGTTGCTTGTTTACTTGGACAGGAGAAGCTGATCCGGCTGACCTCTCCGTCACCTTGGACCCGATAACGAAGTGACACAGATGAATGCTGCACCGGCTCCAGGGGGGGGTCCGGTTCGGGTCGGTTCTGGTCGGTTTGTGACTACATGGGAGGATGAAAGTGAAGATGAAAGCTGAAACGTCTCAGTAATTTGGCCAAAGAGGAAGTGACTCTGGACAAAGTGGTGGCGCCGATTTATCCCTCTGCAGGGATACTGGTCGCTGCAGCAACGGCCAGTCAACATCCGAGCGGTTCTGAAGGAGCGGTTCTGAAGTAACAGCTGTGCGGTTCTGAAGGAGACGATGACAGAGGCTGCGTGTGATGACGGCGGTGAGGCGACCCTGAACGCCTCACAGCTCAACCGCCTGACCGGACGTTTGACCAGAACCAGCCGGGCCCAGACGGAACCGTGTCATTATTTCAATTTAAAAATAAGGGAAAATAACGGCATAATAAAGGTCAACCAGAACCTAAGATAGAGTTTAATGTCAGGTTTATATTGAGGAGGAAAAACTGTGGATCGTTTCTTATTCCAGCACATAAATATGAAATTCTGACTCTAATTTCAAAAACTTTAATCTAAAAAATGTTTGAATTCTGAGACGTCAAATATTTTCTTTTCAGTGTCCCTAATCCTGTTTTATAAATATTTCTATAGTTTGACAAAATGTGTTTAAAGCTCCTGTCTGCTGAAACTTAACTCTTCCTGTCTTAATTATTCTAGATTTGATCTTTTAGCTCCGCCCCCTTTCTTCTTCTTTTGTCCAGTATCGTAATTAAATTTCTGCTTTCTCTTCTTCCTTATTTCACTGGTAAGCTTGACTCTGATTGGTTGGCCCAATCAGACAAAACATCCAATCAGAGCCAGGAGGAGGAGGGTCTTAGCGCTGTCAATAAACACTGTACTGACTACTAAACAACTCACTGATACAGGAAAACTGTTTAAGTGCTGTCATCAGTGGTTATGCTAACTAGCCTTAGCATTCACGACATGTTTTGCTCGCTGCAGCAACAAAGAGGAAGGTAAAGATGGGACTGTGATTGACAGCGCTAAGACCAGACCGCTGGCTCTGATTGGTTGTTTCTAGTTAAAGGGAAAAGGCAAAGGAGATTTTTTTTTTTTTTTACAGATTATTCAACAAACAGGCAAAAGAATAATTTTTATAAAAGTTACATGCTGCAGCTTTTAGAACCTCCTAAAGCTCCAAAGTGTTGCTACATTTGGCTCCATTTTAATTCCAGGATATGTTGTCACTTCCAGCTGGAATAATCCCCCGTCGCTGTGAAAGAGACGGTCGTGTTTCAGTCCAGCTCCTGACATCCTCACAGCCTGACTCTGTTTCAGCCACGCTGCCTGCAGAGCTGCTGGCGACCGACCGACCGCCACAGGCAAAGGTCTACTCGCTGTTTCTCAGCAACAGAGGTTTGTTTCTGTGCTTTATTTCCACAGTAACCGGCACAGAGTGATATATTTAGCCGGGTTTGGGCTGATATGAATAAATAAATAAATAAACACAGTGATTCATCAGGGCTGCCTGAGAAATAGGAAGGAGGTTGTAAGGTGGTGATGTTTCTTGACTTGGATGTAAAATGAATTTACCTTTTAGAGAACAACAGTGATGTTTTGCTTCAGGCGTCTCAGTTGTAGGTGGTAGAAATCAGACCTGAAGACAGTCAGTGAAATCCACCCAAATATTATTATAATCAGGCAAAATCAGATTATTTAGGTTGTTTTGGTTTTGTTTTTTTTCTAAGACAGCTAATAATCTTTACTAATGTACATATAAAATCACAAATTAATCAACAAACACAAATTTGGTTTATCTATATGCAATTTTAGCTAATGCAACATTTTCTCACATATGGCGCCAATTAAATAAATATATTTGAGGTATATTGCATTATTTGTGAAGAAATACAGGATTTTGTAGTGATGGGTGCTGCTAATTCAATGTTAGCCATGCTAAACCTGAACCACTTATCATAAACATTAGCTCCACCAATGCTAAGTGCTACACAAACAACACAGTATTTAGTGGAAACTAATGCTAAGGCGGTACTCCACTAACATGGTATTTAGCAGAATGCTAATACTAAAACACTAGAGTATTTCACAGAAGCTAAAACTACCAATAAGCTACACCAACATGGTATTTAGCACAATGCTAATACTAAACACTAGAGTATTTCACAGAAGCTAATACTACTAACAAGCTACACCAACATGGTATTTAGCACAATGCTAAAACCATAGCATTTAGCTAATGCTAATGCAATACACCAACGTGGTATTTCACAAAAGCTAATACCAAAGCACTAGTATTATTTAGCATTAACTACATTGTATTTAACATTAATGACAGCAGTCATATATTTGTTGTCATGAAGTGTCATTTGGTGAATTATGACACTTTAAATGGACAAGTTCTGGTAACGTTGCTTTAAGTGTCAGTATTTACCAAATAATGCAAAGTTTGACACTTTTTAATGGAAATTTGATGTGACTTTCAACACAGCTTTGCATTAAAAATGACACTTTTTAATGCAAACATTCACGGAGACTCCTTCGTGTCATGACAGGAGTTACGTCATGCCTGCACCTCATTTTATAGGAAGTGTTTTCTACCAGAATGCTCTGTGGACTCCTTCCTCTCTGCAGTGGTTCTGTGAGTATTTCCTCAGTTCTGTTCACAAACAACGAGCTAACAACGAGCTAACAACGAGCTAACGTAGCCTAGCATACACAACACTTCCGGGAGGCGCTGCCCGTTGCCATGGGAGACGTCCAAACGGAGCAGTCCGAGGAAAAACTTGAGTTGTTTCGCTTCTGAGTTAGCAGCTGATTTTGTGTCCCCATGGCCGAGGAGCCGGACGCCGAGGAGACCCAGCCCAGGGGGACCCTGAAGGACAACTGGGTGGAGGAGGTGAGCTGGATGAGCCGCTGGTGGAGGAAAATAACCCCGGAAATGAGAACTGGTGGGGATGACAGCGGCTAACTGCTGGAGTAAACATGGCGGACACGAGCCGAAAATGGGCTTAAAATAGACGTGAAAAATATACATTTAACGAGGTATATTTATTAATCCCACATCTCTGTTATTAAATATATTGGTCTGATGTAATGTTATTATGTTAAAACAATGTGTTTTCATTGGCTTTCTCAGGAAATCATCTTAATTTACAGAGATAAAGGCTTGAACACATCAGCCATGTGTAATTAGTCTATACATTATGTACTTTAATAAATTAACAGCTTTCTAATTTACTGAATTGGCATTACGTTCATTTTAATAGTCTAATAAACCAACAGACCCATTCAATAATCAAAGTTAAACATTTTAGTAACTCCAGCCTTTAACTAAATATTATAAACTTATAACACAAAGGCTTATTTCTGTTATGTGTCATAATTATCTGTTTGCAGCAAATTAAAACTCAATATTTAGGACTAGAATATTATATCAGAGCAATAAAAAACCTTGAAAGGATTTAATTAAAGGTATGTTTTATGGCTGGGATTTCTTGGGGTTGTTCAGGTGTTATTGATACTAATCAGCTGTTCCTGATTATATAAACAATACCTGGTTGCCATGGATCTTTGGTAAATTAAAATGGTTTTAACAAACTGCAGATCAGTACTGTAGAGGGATTGTTAGTTTTCTGTTGGACCTTTAACACCATTCAACTGGAACTGGAATTGTAAATTGTAAATAAAACAAGTTTATGCCACAAATCTGGCCATATTTCAGATATTTAGAAAGAACTGGATCAATAATTATTTGTATGAAGCATATCGTCCAGCCCTACTTTAATTTATGCTAAAGTTTCCGTTTGTCTCTGACTTCCTGCCGTCTTCCAGAGAGCAGTGGCTGCTCTCAACATCGACGACAAGAAGAAGAGCATCCGGCTGAGCGGACACGACGGGCTCACCATAAACCGAGGGTGCAAAATGGAGACTTTATCTGTTCGGTGCTTCTTACGTCCCTCCGAAGAGTCCGGGAGTGAGGGTCAAAGGTCAGCGCCTCCATGTTCCTTAATTAGAGAATCACATTCCAGCGTTCACACACTTACGCTGACGACTGTCTTCTATTTATTTACTGTGTTTCCTGTGCTCTCTGAGTTGGTTTGTGTTTTATTTGGTGGCGCAGGCGTCAGGAAGGAGCTGCTGGAGAATCATTTATCCCAGATGATGCGGTGAGTCACACAACGCTTTTGATCCTGGAGAGGAAAATGTCATTTCTGGAAAGCGTTGCAGGGGAAATGGGGTAATATTTACCCGTCTGGGTTAAATCAGACTTTATGGTGTTATTTTACATGGGCCCAGTCTTTTGATGAAGGGCTCCCCCATAGAAATGAATGTCCTGCTGCATTTTAGAGCTTAGAGGGAATAAAAAGCTTTGAATCTGATGACATCGCAGAAAAGCTTTTGAAGCCGTATCTTCAATTTCCTTTCTTGTCTAAGTGCTGCTGATTCACCTCAGGGTTTCTGGATGTTGAGTTAAACATGCAGAGAGGAATATTTACTCATTTAAATACATTATCTTTGGATGTTTAGGTTATAAAAACATTTTAATAAAAACAGAACTTGAGTAAACAGAATGCAGTTTTCGGTCCAAAAAGAAAAGGTGCAAAAAAAAAGTAAATGCTGCTGCATGTTGGAGGATAAACGACATGTTTTTGTTCATTTCATGAGAGATTCTGGGCTACAAAAGTCAGAACCTGAACCTGTCAGTGATAAAAGTTTAGTCTGATCCAGATTTGACCCAAATTTAGCAAGAAAACGTGAGCAAGTCTTTCCAGTAAACTCCAGTGAAGAAGAGACAAAACTAAAGCCAGATTCTTTATTCTTTTTAAATGTGAACCTGGTTTGTTTCAGTTGAACCGTTTTATTTTAATGGCCTCCCTCTGACGGATCCCCTCTGACTGGATCCCCTCTGACTGGATCCCCTCTGACTGGATCCCCTCTGACGGATCCCCTCTGACCGGATCCCCTCCTGCCTCCACAGACAGAAGATTCTGGCCGAGCTGAAGCCAGTAGGAGAGTATCTACCGGAGTACGGGACCACACATCAGAGGCATTTCTGCGCTCCAGGATTCGTCCCCAGCAAAGCGAAACCGTCGACGGTTCGTGAAGCTTCTGCTCCAAACTGCCTGACCTGTGGTGGACTTCCTGCTGAGACCAGTTAGCTCCCATTAAACCAGAGGAACCAGAACCATTCTCTCATCTCTCCTCTCGCTTTCAGGATCACGACTACAGAAACGAGGAGGCCATCACGTTCTGGAGCGACAACTACCAGCAGATCCAGGTGTGGGTTTGATCACATTCACATGTTTTTATAGCTCAGTAATAAATAAGCATGAACTGAGAGCGACTGGCTTCAGCCGGGGGTCAAACCGGTTTTCATTTTGGGTCACAGTTTCCATGTGACGCAGCATTTCTCTGAACCACTGGCAGCCATCTTGGAAAGCGATTGCTAAAAAAACTAGCTCTCGCCTGGTTCCTAACTTATAAACAATATAAGGACATTAAAACTACTTACAGCGGAAATTAGACAGAATAAAAGGCCAAAATGTCAGAAATTATGACATGAATCTAAAATCTCAAGAAAAACTTTCAGAATGAAATTAATTTAAGAAATTTCACAGAAATTTCAGCTCCAAAAGTTGGAAATTTGCAAGAAAAATTTTAGATTAATTTTGAAGTTTCAAAAGTCCAACAATTTTAATGTTTTTATTTTAATTTCTATCCCATTCTCCAAACAGCATATGTGACTTTTATTGTTCTATTCTTAAAAACTGGTGAAAGTGGCTAATAACAGTTTATATGAGAATATCATCTGAATTTAAATCTTAGGATTTTCAGTGTTGAATTAATTAGAATCTTCATCTTATTTAACCTTTGCTCTGTTTTCGTTTGTTATGGTGGGCAGCGCGTGTCGGCCATCAAGAACCCCAACGATCCTTTCAAGAAGTCGTCTCTGTTCAGCACCAGGATCCAGGACCGGCTGGATGACGAGGAGCCGTGACGCCTGAGCTCCTCCTGCAGTTCCTCACCTGTCCACCAGGTGCGCCGATAGCTAATAAAACCCGTCTGGTTTGGGTTTATTTTCCTAAGGGCTGCAGCCTCGTTAAAGCAAAAACTGGAAAATTCACAACTAACAAAAAAACACAGGATCAGCAGAACTTTGACTTTTTCAGATTATTTGTCACAAACCAGAACAAAAAAAAATCTAACATTTTATTTACTGTTACAATATTTTTTAGGTAGCAATATGTTGTTTTTATTTTTCTATGATTGCTGTATTTCTGTTTCCAGTATTTTTCTGCGTTTAGCCGTTTGAACTCGTCAGCCACGTAGCACCAATTATAACTTCATAGTTTAGGCTGCAGATCCAGTGGGTTGGTGATTCTGATGATGTCATGAAAACATTTATTCACTTAAACACAAAAGTTGGACTCTGAAGCAACCGTAGATGTTTTTTTTCCCTGGTGGAGAACAAAACGTCCTGAAAGCGCCGATTCTTCCCGGATCATTATCTCTCCTCTGCAGCAACCTGCAATTAGTGCAACTGATGTTGAGCAACAGAACTTCCTCCCACGCCGGGCAAAGATCTCGTCTCTGTCCTTGAAGACAGAAGAGACGGAGCTGCGTCCCTGCAGCCGGCTGCACATCCACACGTGGAGTCGGTCAGAGGACGATTCCTCATCCGTCCTCAGCCTTCAGCGGGGATTAGTAGGCGGTCGCTATGGAGACGAGCAATTTTAGCTTCTAGTTATGCAGCTTTTCTCCAAACATTTCATTATCGCACAGGAAAAAGCAATTGGTGCTGAATCTCACAGCCGCACCGCAGAGGATCTGTACCCAACACCTCAAATGAATGACATGCAGAAATTTGTTTCTGCTCTTTAATTTTGAGTTTGACTCCTGAGCGGCACACACACACACACACCACACACACAACACACACACACACAACTGACACACACACACACACAGACACACACACACTGACACACACACACACTGACAAACACACTGACACACACACACACACACACACACACACACACACTGACACACACACACACACTGACAAACACACACACTGACACACACACACACACACACTGACACACACACACACACACACACACACACACTGACACACACTGACACACACACACACTGACACACACACACACTGACACACACAGACACACACACAAACACTGACACACACACACACACACTGACACACACCCACACACACTGACACACACACACACCCACACACACTGACACACACACACACACACACACTGACACACACACACACCCACACCCAGACACACACACACACAGACACACACAACACAGACACACACACACACCCACAGAAACACTGACACACACCCCGACACACACACACACACACCCACAGAGACACTGACACACACACTGACTCACACACACTGACACACACACACACACGCTGCTCTTTATCCAATCCATCAAAAATTTACACTGTAAAAGTGAAATATTTCTATTTTATCCTCAAACTGCAAGTTTTTGCCTTTGATTTGATGTGAAGATTCGTCCATCCAGTTTGTGCTCCACAGCATAATACTGCCACCACCATACTTGATTGTTGTCAGAGTTATCTGAGTCTTGGTGTCTGAACCTTTGTGTCATGAAGGACAAATTTATCCAGTCCAGAGTAAAATAATAATAAAACATTAAATAAAATCAAGTAATAAAAGAAGTAATTTTATTCAGCAAAGATCAAAAACTTATTTTCCATATTTGCCATTTTAAATTAAAAAAAAAAAAAAAAAAACACTTCCTATATTTATCCAGGGTTAAAACATTTTTGCACCAAATTAAACATTTCAGTAAAAGTCTCAGGGTGTTACCATGGAAACCCAATTATAAAACCCAATGGGAAAATTCAACTGCAGTCGCCACCATTACACCCAAAGAGGGCAGCACTGAGCCCGAGTAATAAACACGTTTATGCAAATGTTTACAGTAACATAATTTTATACATTTTGAGTTGATCTGCTCCTTAATCCATATTAATGGTTTTTATTGGACATTTATGTTTAAGGTGAAACATGTTTGTAATTATTTCCTGCCTAAAAGTCAATAATAATAAGAAAAAAAAAAAAAAAACAAACAGATCCCAACTTATAAATGAAAAAAGTGCTTCACTCATTTTATTGAACAAAATATTTTACAGTGTCTTGGATATATATATACATCAGCTGTGTTAAACGGTTGATCAAACCCTGCAGTGGCAACGATTGCTTCTCTGTGCCTTTAAATCTTTCCAAAAATACTTAAAACATTGTCGACTTCCAAACACGTTATTACAAATCTGAATATAGAAAGCACAAAAAAATAAGGATTCATCTGTGAAAAGCACCCTCTTCATACAAAAACAACTTTTCTCTCTGATTTATTGTTTTTATTTAGTTAAGCAGGTAATAAATATACCTGGGATTCCCTCTTGTTTCTGTCTGTTTTCGCTGGAAATCACAGTTAAGGACTTATTCTAGAACAAATAAAGTAGCCGCGCCGCCGTCAGCAGGCCTCTCAGATTACGTACACATCCGTCTTCTCCCCAAGAAGCCAATATGTTCTCATTTTACCTTTTCCCTGAAAAAACAACAACAAAAAAAGCACAAATCAATCAGTTCGTCAATGGAGACGCATCAGCGGTTTGATTGGGCCTGGATAACGGCCGACACCCAGGATCTAATGACACCAACGCAGCAGGAAGGAGGCTTCGACTGCGGCGGCCATTTTGTTTCCAGAAGGTCTGATTAGCTCCATTAAAGGGACGGTAAAAAAAAACAAAACACAAGACAAAAATACATCATGCTGAAAAAACCAAGATGGAACAGAAAATATTTAAATTCCTATCAATGGGAAGAACATGAAGAGTCTTTATTTATTAATCTTCAGTCATGATTAAATCGGATCTTTGTACAAAAATACTTTTTCACTCGTATTTGAGTAACTTCTTGTGTGAGAAAAACATACTGATTAATGTTACTATTATCAGGAGAACAATTTCTGGGCAGCACAGTGGAGCAAAACAAGATCTACAACTAACTTTAACCAAATAAGTTTCTCAAGTAAATGTAACAATTTACTTATTACCAGAAGTGGATAAAGTACTCAGAAATGTACTTCAGTAAGAGTAGAACTACTTCAACATATGTTTACTGAAGTAAAATGCAGTTTTTGGTAAAAAATTACGTAGTAACTGATCAAATTATCATTAATATTTAAAGCTGACCTCATCAAACCGAACAAAATATCAAATTAAGTGGAAATTTTGGTCTTTTAAGAACCAAACTGACAATTTATAAAAGTAACAAAAAAAGAAAGTTATTGCTTTTCTGAAGTCAAGAAAAGCATCCCACAGCATCATGCTGCCACCACCATGTTTTGTTTAACCAAACTCTTGGTCAGAGGCCAATCAGCTGTTCTGTGACACAGACTGCTACAGGAAGCGCTTCCTGCCAGCAGCCCTCAACTTATTAAAGTAACATTTAGCTCCGTTTTGGGATTAAAGAAGCAAATTTGAGTTGAATTTTGGGAAATTTTAAGCGTTTCAGTTATTTCGCAGTTCTGAACAATCTCTGAGTGAGAATTAAATCGATTTCAGGAAACTCTGAGCTCTTGTGTTCTGGAGAGGAAACAACCTCGTCTAAAACGACACAACTAAAGAAATAAATAAAACTAGAGTGAAATAATCAGATCTTACCTTCATTTCTACGTCTCCTCGCAGCTGAAGGTCAAAGTAACCAAACTCATCCAGCACTTCTTTGTGGCGGAGGAAACGTGGATCTTTAAGGCTGCGAGGAAAACCAAAAGCAGAGCAGAAATAAAATAAAAACATCTGAGTTTGGAATTGAAATAACTCCAGCTTCTAAATAAACCCATTTTGAGCAGAGAGTCAGAAACCTGGTTAGTTTCATTAGTTAACGAAGGAGAAACGATTCCCTCCTGCTGCAGTTCACGGCTTTTTTCTGAGAGAAACATCAATTATTCACCAGAGGAGACTCGATACAGGAAAACACTCAGCAGCTGATCAATGCATCTGAAGATCCAGCTGGAAAATATCCACAACTCACAATGAGGCAGCAAACTGAGGAACTAAATCGCCTCATTTTTAGTTTTTTCATCTCCAGAATATTCCTAAAATTAGAATTATTATTTACGGGAAAATAAAAAATAGTTTTATTCTTGTAATATTAATTTACTAAACATTTTCTTAGCGTGGCTCTAATACAGCGTCATAATAAAGCGCAAATTCTCAACACACAAAAAAAATAACATAATAATTAAACTAAATATTAAAATATCTCCAGAGCACAGGCTGGTTTCTGACACGTCTCCCTGGTTAAAGCAGACAGGAAGTGATGTCAGCAGCTCTCACCCTCTCCGTTGGACTCCATGCGGGACGCCGTGTTGACGGTGTCTCCGAACAGGCAGTACCGCGGCATCTTCAGCCCCACAACACCAGCGCACACCGGACCTGAGGAACCGAGACGGTCAGAGGGCCGGACACACAACGCCGATGCTGCTGCTGCTGCCAGCAACCAGCAACTTCATGCTGCTACTGGTCAATGTCTACAACTGATAGTTATTGTGGTGCAAAGAAACATTGGATGGTTTTTATTTCTTCCTGTTTCTATTCAACCAGGTTAAGATTATAGTGGTGAAAATACGTCTTTTGCTCATGTGATTTTAAACTTGTATCATGATCCAAATAAATGAAATAAACGGTTTAATGGATATTTGGTTGGACTTTCTAGTGGATGGTTGGATGTAGGATGGTTGGTTGGTTTATTGGATGTTTTGTTGGATGTTCCATTGGATGGTTGAATGTAGAGTGGTTGGTTGGTTTGTTGGATGATCCAGTCGGATGTTTACCCTTCAGAGTTCTGGTTTTCTGCTCATCCTGCTTCAGTTTCTAACTGAAGGCGTTTTTGTTGCGTTACAAGTCGTTTCTGACCTTTGACCCCTGACCCAGCACCTGAACGCTGTGACCTTCAGACTCACCGGTGTGAATGCCTATCCTCAGCCGGAGCTGGTCGTTGGGTCGGTGCCGGATCTTGAAGGTTCTGACCTGCTCCAGCAGCGCTAGCGACATGCTAGCCACCTCTCTGGCGTGGAGCTTCCCGTTCCGGACCGGCAGCCCCGACACCACCATGTAGGCGTCTCCGATGGTCTCCACCTGCAGACCGGACACAAACCGGTACAGCACCAGTTCACCACCCACACGTCCCAGTTAGACCCACTGGTGACCCAAACCCACCTTGTAGACATCAAAGTTATCGATTATGGCGTCGAAGCAGGTGTACAGATCGTTGAGCAACGTGACAACCTGCAGGGAAAAATAGATTTTATTTATTTAATTCAAGCAGTTTTTTTTAAAGTAACCAGTAGAACAAGAAAATACATAACTACACTGTAAAAAATGTCTGTAGAAATACCAATGAATTATACCAAATATTGTAAAATACCGTAACATTTTACCATATTTTATTTTACAATAGAAATATAAGAATTTACAGAATGAATCCCATAAAACAGAACAATGTTTTTGAATAAATACCGTAAAATACTGGCATCCACAGCTGCCAGTATTTTACCGTAAATTAGAGACTTTTTTGCAACAAGAACAAAATAATTAGTTTGCCGCTACTCTTCCATAAACATGTTATGGTATTCACAAAACAAAATGATTACAAAATGCCTCTCATTCAAGAAAACCCACATAAAATCTACATAATAACTGTAAATAACAATTGCACTGCAAAACCATTTGATCGTAACAAGTATTCCTGTCGAGTTTCTGGTGTAAATATCTTCGCGCACTTGAAACTAACTTTCTATTTCCACCACAGCAGAGCAAATTCTGTATCCGTCTAGATGAAGTGACTCAACTCTGCGTCAAGATCTCCCATCTAAGGGCTGATCTATTTCCAGTCACACACAGAGTGTGTGTGGGGGAACACACTCTCTCCGCTGGAGATCACGACAGCGCGGCGCGGTGTGAGCGGGAAGCGTACCTGCAGCGGCGTGCTCTCCGCAGACAGAGAGGTGAAACCGACGATGTCGCTGAAGTAGATGGTGACGCTGTCGAAGGCCTCCGCCTGAACTGTCTCGCCGCGCTTTAGCTGCTCCGCCACCGAGCTGCACACACACACACACACACACACACACGCACACACACACACACACACACACACACACACACACAGAGAAAAACTGTAAGAATGAGCATGCTAACCGCTAATGTCTCCCGTCAGCCACTTTAATTTCAAGATGGCTGCTGTTTTTGCACCTTTTTAATCAATTATTGCCACAACGTTACCCGTCATGTTTTCAACTTTAGCTATTTTGTTCAAACAATGTTGAAGTAATGCTCAGAAACTGAGGACTTGGATGTTTGCTAGATTCACCCCAGTCATGAAGATGTGACCGAATCAGATTCTGCTAACTTTTTTGATGTTTAGCCGTTTAGTGTCAGCGGTTTCGCTTTAGCTTTCACTCATTTTTATAGGTTTAGCAGTTAGCTTTAGTGTCTGCTATTTGTTTATGTGTTTAGGAGTTTAGTATTTATGTTCTTATCAGTTCAGTGTTAGCAACTGCTAATTTGTTTGTGTGCTACAGATTTATCTAATGTTCCATGACAGCCATATTGAAAAATGAAAAACTATCAGTAGAGATGATTTCTATGAGTCTAATGTAAAATTTGACATTAAATGTGTTTATCTTTCATAAATCTCGTGCCACATTTTGTTGACGATGGCGGCCATCTTTAATTTTTTAGTAGGATTTTTTAAAACAACGGTGGGAATAAGTAAGGTTCTGGTATCCACATGTAATAGATTTTGTAAAATATTGAATTATCTGGTGCAGTAAATAAGGCAGAGGCTCTAAAGTGAAAGAAAAATGTTTTTCCAGCTGTTTTCTCCTTATTATCCAGCAGCCCTGGCTCTGGCTGAACGCCTGGCCACTGAAATCATCCCCAGATGTCAGTTTATCTCTGCTCATGTTAATTTCCCTTCAATCAAACGACACCAAGGCAGGAACATCTCGGAGGCAGAGGTCAGTTTGTTTAAATCTGGAGCGCGGTGAGAAATCAGATCTTCTGTTCCTCTCAGGCCCTTTTTCTGTCTGCCTAATTTCAACATGATGAAGGAGGAAGAAGAGGATAAACGATGAAGGGAAGCTGGATTTGCTCTTCCTGTCCTCCCTCTATTGCCCTTTTCTCTGTAGCGAGATTGCACTGCAGGGAAATATGTTTGAGTCTTTAATTAATACAGAGGTTTAGCGCCGCTGACAGAGTGTCACTGAGTCCAATCAGCTGAACTTCAGTTAATTGGTGGTTTTGAGTTTTTTCCTTCCTTACTGTGGGAGGATTTGGTAGAGGAGGTTTTCGGCTTTCCGCTTCTCCTCCAGGTAGGCCTGCGTCCGCTCCTCCACCAGGTTCTCCAGGTTGTTGGCGTATTGCTCCATCCTGGACAGCAGGTTGTTAAGGATGCTGGTGCTGCCCTCCCTGCAGAAAACACAAACAAACATGTAGCAACTCTGAAGAGCAATAAGAATATTTTTAAGTTTAAAATCAGCATTGTTCTTTGTAATGTTTTAGTAAAATGTCATTTATTTATATTTTTAATATTTTGTATTTCATTGTATTTTTGTACATTTCTGTAATTTCAAATAACATTTTCTGTATTTTTTATTTTGTATTAATTCCATTTTTCAATTTATTTTATCATATTTAGCTTTTTTTCATTTTTGTATTTTTTACTTAAACTTTTTTGTAGTTTTTCATATTTCTAATTTCATTTTGCTATTTTTTATTGTTCCATTTATTTTATAGTTTGCATTTTTTGAAGTTCAGTTTTAATCAAATATTTTTTCCATTTTATATTTTTATGTCATTATTTAATTTAAGATTTTTATTTATTTTCATTTTTCATTTATTTGTTTGCATTTTTGTATATTTTATTGCTTTCTGTTGTCACTGGAAGAACAAATATTACAGATATTATCTACTGTAAACATTAGTCTTATACTTACAACTTTGATTTGGAAAATCAGTTGAAAATTTGCGTTGTCATGTTAATTTTTTGTATTATAATTACGTCACTTCAGGTGTCCCGTACAAAGAACTAATCCTGCAGACGTAAAACTGACTTCTATCCTCAAATGTTAGCTGCTCATTGTGGCATTTAGTGGCTTTTTTTAGACGCTGAAGCTCTAAAAGCTGATGCCTGCGTCTCGTAGGTTTTCTAATTAAACGTGTAGCATAATGTTTATGCTCTACAATCATATGCTCAGGCATAAACACAACCCAACGCTCACAGTTACTCAGACGGAGCGAGAAGGTGAGTCATCCACGCCAGCATGGAGGCTGAAAGCGTCAATGTCTGGCACCTTCCCAGTAGCTACTGGGTCATAGCAGCCTACAGACGCCAACACGCTGTTCATCTTTAAAGGAGCAAATATCAGACATGGACCACTAATGAGTAACGAGGCTCTGAGTTCAATCGAAAAAGGTCACGTAAAGATTAGCGCGCCCAGTATTTCAAATTCAGACGTACAGTATGACGAACGCAAAAATGAAAATACAAAAAATATGTTAAAACTGACAAGTTAAATAAAGGAGTGTTAGGACTGAAATGATTAATCAATTGTAGAACTGTCAAATAATTTTCTAAACATTTAATTGTTAACTGGATTCAAAAAAAGCCATTTGGTGAAATAAAAAAGATATTCAGAGAAGAAAACAACCTAAGAGTACAAAATACTAAATGCATTTTGCATTATAATAAAAGAAACATTTGTCTGAAAATGTTTCAGCCAAAACTCCTCATGTGATGTAATTTTAGCTTCATCTGGTTTGAATTATGCAGAAACTTATTATTTTTATACTAAGTTCCTTCTGCTTTCCAGTTATTATTCACTTAATCCAAAAATAGTCATCAGATTCGCTCTGCATGGTACTGATGCCAAGTCAAGCAGAAAAGTGTTCACAAAAGGAACGCCATGTTGTTACATTTTAAAATGAATTATTAGTTTTATTTACATTTTCTAATGTATTTCAGAGAGCGTATAAAACGTCTTAAGTGAAAAGAATTTGGCAACTTTTTATCCGATTGTCTAACTAATAGGTTAATAATCAAATAAAACAAGACAATAACTAAAATAATTGTCAAATAAAACTAAATTCAATATGACTCAATTAAGTTTTATTCTAAGAGTTGAATTGAAAAACAGAATAAGGACATTTTTAATTGATTAATCTAACAAGAATATAAAGATTCAATAAAGGCCATTTGGTGAAAAAAAACAGGGTTTATTATAAGCCTGGCGGGCCTCCAGGCTTTTCCTGTTTTTAGTTTTTTTTTAATATTTGTGTTTTTTTTAAGACTTTATAGTTAATATTCAGGTATTAACCTTCCAATCTCTTAATAACACATAATTATCAAGTGATGTTTTCAAATGTTCAACTTTAAACCGCTGGGTGAATGACTGCCCAAGCGCCCAACCAATGGCGTTAGCAAGTTTTCTGGGGAAAACGTTGAACAGCAAATCAAATCTGCTGTAATTCATCTAAACTAGAATTAAAAAGGATTTATACTTTGGTCTGAACCAATGCATAAAAGCTTCCAGTGAATCAGAGTGAATGTGTTCAGAGACGAACAATGGGGAGACTTCGTGTTCGCAGTGAGGTCGGCGTTTCACGGCCAGCTTTAGACGCCCTGTGTGGGTTCGAACCAAACCGTTTGTCGCTCGACACCCTTTCACTCTCGCTCCCAAAATAACAGCCCATCCGTCACGTCACGTCAACAACAAGCATTTTCCTAATGAGAGCAACCAGCAGACGGAGCGCTGAGGCACGGGCCGCCCAGGCCAACCGGAGTGGAGGGACGCGCCTGTCAGCAGCATCCTTGAGTGCTTCGGAGGTCATCAATCATGAGGACCTCTCCACTTAAAACCACTCAGGGCTGAATGTGAGCAGAGCCATCCAATGTGGAGAAACAGGGATAATAGAGGAGACGTTGAGCTAAGAGGAAAAACTCAATCTGTTACAGAATCACCTCCAACATGGCTGTTTTTATATCACTGATGGGTTTGTGCTGCAGAAGACATAATATCTATAAATATTAGAGATAAAAGCTTCTAACTGCATATTGTAACTGTTCAAATACTAAATATACATTAGTATGCTGTAATATGCTCAGTAAAAACTGCCTTAGCAATGGTTTCTGATCCCTCTAAGTCGTTATTTTGCTCCAGACTCTGATCTCCTCCATCTTGGATTCCTGCTCTAATACCGTTTCATCTCCTCTGGGCTCAACTTAAAACTCGTTCCCAGTCGTTCCTCTGCTTTACTTTGTTCCCATTGTCAGATGAGACACATCTGGACTGCTGGCATTCAGTTCCAGCTTCGATGTGGACGGCCGTGAAAGATGATGATCAGCAACATTAGCATTTCTGTTGTTCACAACGATGATTCTCCACCACATCATGACAGAGCCTGGATTTAACTCCCTTAGTTTATATCACCCGCTCTGTGTTTTTAATTCAATCTGGGCCTGTCTTTAAACAGAACACTTGTCGCCTGCATTTTTATCCAGCTTGTTCCCAGAGAACTTGCTCCGTTCAGAGATTTATGCCTTCCTCCTTCCTTATGCAATCCAGTTTCCCTGCTGGATGCAGCGCTGCCTTGGGTGACATCGATTTTCCAAAGTACTTTTGAGTTCATGTGGCTGTATGGATCGTTTTTTCTCTTTCCAAAGTTTGAATGTGGTCTCACGGTGTCTCACAGTGTTCAGGTGTTGCAATGAAAACAGCACAACCTAAGAGTTTGTTTTTCCAGCTGAGAGTCAGAAATCTCCAAGTCGGCTTCAGTCTAACGAACCGTGACCCATATTTTGATATTCCTGCCACAGCTTGCAGGACGTGACCACCGATTGCAGCTGACAGGCACAAAGTCAGAACCTGTAAAAGCTTCACGCCGCATTCGCCAAGGCTCAATCCGCTCAACCAATGATGAATGTAAGCTCTTCTTTATCACGTCTCTGGGCAAAACCATGTAAATAACACGCAGCACTGCATGATCCATGTCTTTATGAGGAGCTTAACAAAAGAAAGTAACACAGTCTCACTGTAAATATGGGCTGAATGCTAATTCTCAAAGCTAAAGGAACAAATTTAAAGCTTATTTCCAACATCAGCTTCTTGTAATGTGCTGCAGACACAGATTAGTTTAGTTTTTTTCCCCAAAAGGGAAAAACACCAATTATATAGTTCAATTATTAATGAAGTATAATGAGTTAACGATTCAAAGGGCCAACAAGTTCAATGACTCTTCACTCACTGTCAGATCTGATTAAACATCCCACACAATCATCCAAACTGAGGAACGCATTAAATACTAAAACGGTTCATCTGCAAGACGGATGTTAAATCAATGACTTTATTTCATAATTCAAGTGGTTAGTAACTATTAAACCAGATTAAACCACTTTATTCCTGAAAATATGAAGTTATGATGAGAAAAAAAAACCTAGTATGGTTTTCTTACTCATCTGGACAGAAAGGACAGAGTAAAACGTTATACCAACATGGTATTTGGCACAGCCTAAAGCTACATCGCTACAGCAAAAGGGTATTTAGCAGAAGTTGATGCTAAATCGCAAAGCGCTATTCACTGGCCGCTAATGCTAAACTGCTAACCTCAGTTCAAATGATCCTCCCTTGAAAGGCGACAAAACATCAAATTAATTCTGACATTATAATCTACATCTTAGATATTGTGTTTATATCTACGTCTTGTTCTCTAGGGTCCGTGTTTCATTTTCTTCCTTTATGTTTCTTGTTTTAAAAAATGTTATTGGGTAAAAAGAGAGAAAACATGAGGAGGAATCATAACAGTCTTCTCACTTCGAAATGAGAGCTTAAAAAACCAAAACAGCAACATAACTTTCTTCAGCTAAAAGTTACAAAACAGCCAAGAAAATCAGCATGTTAGAATTTATGTGGCAAAATTAATTTAGAAGATTATGCTAACATGTTAGCATGATCGTGTCCATAAGTGCATGTGGATATTTAATGTTGAAATAAATGTATATATCAATATGTGAACATTTCTGGTGAAAGAACAGAATATTTCATGTGGTGTCTTCATTTTTTTCCCATGACGGAGCTGTTGCAGAGTTTCTCCAACATCCAACCTGCCAGCAGTGTATCTGGTTTCTGAGCTTTAGAGTCACTTTGTTTCATCCTTACACTAACTCTTTCTGACAGAAGCTCCACTCTCAGGGGAAAACATGCTGGCCTCCCTTCCTGCATCGACATAATATTCCAACCAAAATATGCGCATAAATGATTCATAAGATCATCAAAAATAATACCAGAACCATGGACTCCGACTCTTCTGTTACTCAAACACACACCGACGCTTTCGCAGGGCGCTTCCTGCTAACAACCGGCTGTCAGGAATCACAAACATTTGTCAGAAACTGTCGTTCAGTTTTTATTTGCATTCTCATCCCAACACCCAATGCATTGGACCCGTCAGAAACTACAAAAAGTGTCCTTCAATCAATCTCAACTTAACTCTTTATTTGAGGTCTGAAGAGGAAGATGGTAATAAAATGTAATGTTGATTTAAATGTGACCAATTTTTCCACCTTGAAAAGGTTAGGATAGTTTTACATAGCAAAACAAATGTATTACATGTTTTGTAATAAAGCAGAAGTGGAGCGGTAAAACCAGCTGACCAAACATACTGAAGCTCTGGGTTGCTAGGTAACAGGCGGAATTCCGCCGGGGTTGCTAGGTAACAGGCGGAATTCCGCCGGGGTTGCTAGGTAACAGGCGGAATTCCGCCGGGGTTGCTAGGTAACAGGCGGAATTCCGCCGGGGTTGCTAGGTAACAGGCTGGGCTTCCCTGAAGTTGCTACATTTTCTAAAGATGCCAAAAAACATGAACTTATTGTCAAAGAACATCTGGGTGTTTTCAGAAACAGCTGAGATCCAAATGGAAACATAAAACTGTGCAAAAGGTTAACTTTCCATAATAGGTCCTCTTTAAGTTTTTAATGTAATTAATCATCCCACATAAGTTAAAATAAAGTCAAACACATGGTTACATTTATTAAAGAGATTTCTGCTGTTACCGTTTAAAGGAAAAATATCAACATGTTGGACATACTTGTTGAGTTTTGCCATGTAGATCTTGATGTGGCCGAAGTCCGGCCTCTCTGTCGGGTCTTCGGCCCAGCAGCCCTCCATCAGGATGGTCAGCTCCTCCGGGTGGCATCTGTTTGTCCGTCGTTGGCCGGAAGTACGGCTTCTGGCCGTTTCTCACCTTCTGTATGATCTCTAAGCGTGGAAGAAAACACGCCTCAGTGTCTGACTGGATAATGATGAATAATATCAAACACAGAATCAAAAAGCACCGAAATAAAAATACCAACGGTCCAGTTTTGTTGATTTGAAGGGTTTTATAATAACATTATAAGCTCTTTAGTTGGTTCATGTGTACATTTTTGTAGTAGCATCACCTGATTTTACTTCACTAGTTTGAAAAAATTGAAAATTTATTTCAAAAAGAAAATTTTTAAATGCAAAACATTTGAAAACAACCTTCCAGCTATTGTTAAGTTAACCTGGAAAAAACTCCAAAAACAACAAGAAAACCCTAAAAATAGCAATAAAACCTACTTAGTTCAGTTTTGTTGATATCAAACTTTTTTTGAATTGCATAAACAAATAAGATCTTAATTTGTTGAGTTATGTCCTTTTGTATTAGCTCACATTTGTGACTTTAAGGCCCTTTTATGGCTTTATTTTTTAAAATATTTTACTCCAGGTTATTGAAAACCAAGTCAAACATACACGGCAAAAAACACAGATTAGCAAGGCTAAACTAGGCTAAGCTAAACTAAATTACACTAAATGCTAACAGATGCTAACATCTTAGGATCAAAATAAAAAACCAGAATAACCTAAAAGTAGAAAACAATGCAAAAGCTGATTGCTTACTCTGTAAAATACTAAAAGTGATTATTTTTTTAAATATTCAAGGTAATTTTAAAATTCCATGTTAAAGGCTTCATTCATTACGTCATCTCTCTATTGATTATTACGTGTTTATTATTAAAATCAGCAAATGTCACTATTTAATTTGTTAACGGTTTATTTAAAAATTATAATTGTTAAAATAAGTTGTGAAATAATGGAAAGATATAAGGTCAAAGTGCGTTAGTTAAGCTAGGCTAATTTACACTAATAAACACAAACTTTTAAAAGCAAACATAAAGATAAATCTAATCAGTACCCAGATTAAATTTTCTTTTTCAGTTTTCTGCATAATTTTGTTTTTAATCAAGCCATAACTGTCGATTATGCAAAAACATGGCTGCTAATTTCTTTTACAACAAATTCTCATTTTTCTTTTTGACGTTAAGTGCAGCAGATAAAAAACACAACATATAAAAATATAAACACTAATTTTCTACTACATTTTCCCAAGACACTCCAAGTTTTCATCACTTCTTTAGTTGGACTCTTTTTCCCTCTGATTAATGAAACAAAAAAGCTCTATAAAACTATTAATTCAGTTTTTTCCGTCTCCAATGACAAAAGATGCATAAAAGCCTTTTAAAGAATCTGGTGGAAGTGGAAACGTTATGGCGCGAGGTTTCTGCTCTCAGGCTGTTAATGCATAAGCAGCAGGAAACGTGACTCTGAATAAAAGGTTTTAATCGAGGTTAACAGGTTGAGGAAGCTCCTCAGGAAGGCGATTCATTACATTCAGGTTCAAACCTGCAACCCTCCCTGCATGCATTTCAAATTCAATAACATCCCCAGTTATGCTGTAATACTTGACTTTTTAACAATAAATTAAGACTAAAAAGGAAAAACTTTGATCCAACATCTTCTTTTCAGTTATTATCTTTTACTTTCCAGATATTTTTAGGCTCATCTCTGGGTTTGATGCGTCATTTTCAAAACACAACAAGGCGCAATTAGACAACTTCAGGTTTCCACAGCAACTGAAGCAGCTGTTGTGGAAAAGGTTTAATCCCCGCGGAGACGAGTTCGACTTGTTGCTCAATCTGTTTTTCAACAACTGCAAGGAGAGAAATCCATCCACCACTCAGTCACAGAAAAAACGTTTTTTTTAAAAATCACCAGAAACTTGTCATTAAAAGAATTTTACCGGATCATTCTGCTAAAATAAAATACATAAATACTGTAAAAACTTAATCCATATTGTAATCTAAATATGCTTTACGAATATCAAACATTTCAGCTTAAATATGTTTCACTTAGAATGAAATATGGATTTAAAGGTACTGTCCAAATCAAACATTGGGTCAAAAAAGAAAATAATTTACTGCAGGACATCTGTGTCATAATTGTATTTATAAATTGTTCATATTTCAGGGGAAAAAAATCTAATTCTCCGTTTTCACCTGAGCTAACAGTGAGGCAGACATTTTGTTGCAGAGTTAAAAGGCTAACCTCTTCACATCTTTTCAGGTTTTGGAAAAGTAATTTTTTTCCGTCTTAAAAGCTTTTCAGAAATGATCCTTTCAAGGTTTCCCTGTGATGTTGACATTTCTCAAAGACACACAGCTTTGAAAAAGTAAGAATTTTACCATCTTTTCAATTCAAAAACAAAATTGAAGTTAGATCACATTTAAGAGATTGTTCACGTTCCTTCTGTTGTTTTCATGTTAGTCTTGAGGTTAAAAAGTGTGAACTGACTGGAACGTTGTTCTGTAATGTTATTAACGTTTCTGCAGTCGGTCTGACTGTCTTTTCCTCTCAGTTACATGATGACATCTGGCCAACACGTCATGTTACAGTGAAAGGAAAACATGGAACATGGCGCTAAAAATAAATACTTTCTTGATTGTGTCTGTTTAAATTACTTGTTTTATTTGCTAATTTTGCTAATTGAGCCACTTGAAGGCTCGTAAAAGGCAGCTGTGTTTACCTTTAGGGCTGAGGTCCATGCCTTCCACATAGAAAGGTCCATTCCTCAGAGCTATTTCCTGCAGTATGATGCCAAAACTGTACACATCGCCCTTCTGGGTCCCCTGCGGAGGGTGCCGGTCGTATATGAGCAGCTCTGGAGCCGTCCACAGCTTCTCTGGAAGAAAACGCACAACGTGATAAAACAGGAGCAGAGGCTTTTGTGAAACTGCAGTTTGGGAAGCTGACTTACTTGCATATAGGGCATGCGAATCGTCGTTCTCGCAAGACGAGCGGAAGCTGGCCAAACCGTAATCTGTGATTTTCAAAACAAATCGGCTGTCCACCACACAATTAGATGACTTCAGATTTCCGTGGCAGCCAAAGTAGCTGTTTTGGAGATAGTTCATTCCCTGGTGGACAGGAGTCAAGCATTAGCATCCATCTCTTTCTGTCTGCTTTTGTTTCTCGACGTCAAAACAGCAAATTCAAAGAAATACAGACATAAGAAAATAACAAATTTGACAAGTTTGCAAATGAGTACAGAAATACAACTAAAGTTCAGAATAAAATGCAATACTTGATGGCATCATTCTGGATACTTCTCATCATTTTCAGCTAATGGAACGTAAACCTACGCTAAGCTAAGCTACACTAAGCTAGCTACGCTAAGCTAGCTACTGAGAAATAAACAAACTGCCTTTTATTACAAAGAAGCCACATTGACTAAGAGAGTAAAACATTTATACAATATGACAGCAGTTAGAACGGGTCATTAGTTAAACATTTATTTCTGTTTTCAACCAACATACCTAGTTTAGGGTCGACAAAAGTTTCAACGCTAAAGAGAAGCTAGGATTTAGGAAGTGAAAAATTAAACAAAACTGTTACAGGAAAAAACAGAAAGAAAGTTTTATCTGTACGTAAATTTAACGTGTTTTTAATTCAAGAAGTACAATTTTTTTTAGTTATTACATTAAATTATATCCTATCTTGGTATAACATGATTATATTAATGAACTGTTTCTTTAACTGGACATTTTTTGCACTTCTTTTGACATTATTTAAAAATAATTTAATCATCCCATTGGGGAAAAAATCAACCTCGTCTCATATTTTGTGGAAATGTGGAACTGATTTAGCTGAAGCATTTCATTAAGCAATCAGTCCAACAGAAATGTGTCATTAAAAGCAATTTTCTAAATTGTTCCCATGATTGCATTTAATCAGAGTTTCTGATGAAATTTCATTTGTTACCTACACTTCTCCAACCACTTCAAGTCAATAAACTTTAAAGCAGATTTTCCTTCTCTCCATTTCAGCTCATGTGAAGCCGTGGCAATGCAGAAAGATTGGTGCATATCTGCATGGCACAACAAGCAACCTTTTAGCTGGTGCCCAGGCAAAAACACATGAATCAATGTTCTGCCTTTGACGTCTGGTTCATGTTTACCGGGCCTGCAGCCTGAAGGCCACTCACCTTCACGATGTCATTGATCAGCGAGTAGCGGAACATCCAGTCCAGGTTTATGCTCTCGTTCTCCAAAATGTCCTGGATGAGCGAGAGCAGATCAAAAAAAAAAAAACAACTTGAACTTTGCCGTGACTTTTCATCTGCCAAAGCAGACTGAAAGTTTACATTAGGATGAAGCAAAGAATCAACATTTTTTCCTCTTCTGTTCATCTTCACTGTTGAAGGATATTAATGAATAACTGTGAAAGCTTTCCCAGGTCGACCCGCTTCCTGGAATTTGGAGCTACATCACATTTTTATTCTCCCCAAATGTTAGAAACGTTAAAGTTCAGTTGGATTATCAAGCATTTTCTTATCAGAGGTGTATTTAAGACAAAAGTTTGATGGTGTATTAGAGACACTGGAGACAGAAAGAAAAAAAAAACCCTCTGACATATTTGGATTTCAAATTTTTCTAGGAAAAACAATTACATTTCTGACCTCCAGAAACAATAATTTAGGGGAAACTAAGTTTGCTAAATGTTTTGAAAGTTTGCTAAATTGCCAGGTGAAAAATTATCTGGTTACTAGTGGATTTGTGCTAACCAGTGTAACCAGTTAAATGTGTGTCATATTAATCTCTCTGCTGATATTAACAGACATCCAGTGTGAAAAGAAGAGGAAGAAGAGTGAGCAAACAGTTTCAAAGGTAGGTAAATGAAAAATTAGCTCCAGTATTAGCGTATTATCAGAACTGTGTTTACTCCTTGGTATCAGAATATAAAGCGGAACAGAGTTTAATTTAAAACTTTTTGACAATTTCCTTTCACTTCACAAATACGTAGCATTTTCTTACTGTCTTCAACATGAAATCCTAATAAAATAAGCAAACGTTTGTGGCTTAACATGTCAAAAAGTGAATAGTGATTTGGCTGTGGAAGTTACCTGCAGGCTTCCTCTGGGGCAATACTCGGTGATGATGCAGATGTTGGGCGGGTCGATGCAGGCACCAATGAACCTGGTCAGATGGTTGAACTGAACGTCTCTCATCTGAAAATAACCGCACAAACACGCGGCGGCTGTGAGCCCCGACTCTTTCCAAACATCACATCCCCAAACCCCACGGAAACAGAGCACTGACGGCTCATTTAGGCACCGACTTCTCGGGACAACGCTGCCAGCTTTTCATCAAAATAGTCTGTTTGCAGTGGACCTGGTTGTGCCGGCTCCGTTTCTATGTGTTGAGCGAACCAAGTTGACGCATGTGCATAAACTGCAAGAGTTATGAATGGGCCAGTGTGCTGAGGAGGATTTGATAAAAAAAGTTAACAAGTCGTGTTGGGCAGAAATATCAAAGTGGAACGAAACTAGAAACTAACGATTAATTTAGCAATCAATTAATCGTTAAATTGAAGAATTAATTATTAAATCTAACAATTAATCGTTAAATTGAAGGATTAAATGGATAAAACTGTCAAATCTTATTTTTAAGATATTGTTTTAACATCTTTAAGATAACAAAGATATTTAAATGATTTATTAATCGTGATTAATCATTTCAGTCATAACCAAGAACACTGGACATGATCTCTAATAAAACTCTGGCTTAACGATAATTGTCCAACGCAGGTGTTTGAGGTTCTGACAGGAACATTTGCTGCCAGATTCCTTCCATGCAAAGGTGTGAATTTCTCCTTGCAGAAGCAAACTGGACAATCCTGACGCTTTCAATCCAGCCGGTAAACGCGCTGACAGAGGCAGCAGTCAGAGAAACCTGCAGCCAGCTTCAAAAGAACATCGCTTCAACAGCGCTCTTTTCTTCTCCGACCCGCAGTGAGTGACAGCCGCTCTCACGGCAAGCGGCGAGCGTTAGCGGCTCCTGTTTCACAGCTCGGGAGACGCTGTTAGCCTACCCTTTGCCCCATTTATTTTCCTCTGCTGCACCCTGGAACAAAGCGGTTAAGTTTCCACTGGCAGGCACGGCCGTCTCCCCCCATCTGGCTGGCTTTCTTTCCTTCCCCTGAGCTGAGGTTTGACAGGCCCATCAGGCCCGCGGGGCATCTCAGACCGACGGCCACTAACCCGTCCTCTCCGAAACGGCTTCGCATAAAATGACCCCAAAATTCACTGCCGAACCGCAGAGCTAACGCTCTGAGAGCTGCAGGCTACAAGAATGATCAACAGCCACAAGCATCCGTCTTGTTCGTGTTTGCCAGTGTAATTTCCAAGTTATGGCTTCCCCCGATGCCACGGCGAGTTTCCATCACCAAACCACATTAAGTTGTGAGATTTCTGTCTTTCCTCTAGCTTTCTTATCGCTTACTCGTAAATATTTCCCAGCCGGAGGGGCCTTTCTATTAGCCGCTGCTGCCGTTTGTGTCAAAAAGAAGGTTTAAGGTAATTACGCTAGGTAACAAACAAGCAAGACTCAGCAATGCCTGAATGTATTGATTAAAGCCAGACTTTCATTTGTTGGTAGGAGGGAAATAAAAGGTTTATTAAGTCAGAAAAAGACTCAAACTTCTATAAAGGCGTATCGATTGGAAGACGGATACATTTTGTCCTCTGACTGCAGCCGTTTTAATTGAATGTCAAGACAGTTTATTTATACACAGACATTTCAGAAAACCAGAGAGCTGATGAATGCCCTGCAGAGTGAATCTGGCTGAAATCCATGAAATGACTCCACACTCGTTGTCTTAAACTAATTGTCAGATTTTGAAAAAATAGCAAAACAGAAATGAGGAGACGGATTTGACACATGGATCCACTGCAGCTGTCTTGAAAAATAAAACTTTTGCTTGTTTACTGGGGAGATGAACTGATAATGAAGGTTTCTGAGCAGGATTTGTACTTATGGAACTGATAACAGTTTTCAGTGAAGATATTTTTACTTCTCTTTCCAACCCAAACTCTTTTGAACCGTGTTTGATTTGGGGACAGAGCTACCAATTAACCAGAGACGGAGAAACTGAGAGAAACTCCCTACAGGACAGAGATGGGTGGAAAGCACTGTGTATGTGACTGATAAGATGTAAAAGGAATTGTTTGTTTCACTTCTTCTTCCTTCTTCTCTTGCTTTTCTTTTCTCACACTGATTGCTGATACTCTGATTTTCTAAATAAAATATCTAAAGACAAATAAGTATTTCTCTGATTGATTCAGTTTCTCCCAAAACAAAACCCAGCGTGACGTCCCGCCCTCTTCTACCTGCTGGAAGGCAAAAAGCTGCTCACTGACTGTGACTAGCCTTAGCGTTAGCTGCTAAGCTATTAAAGAAATGTTAAATATTAAATGTATATGTGATATATAAAAAAAGAAGGGATGCAGTGCTTTGCTGCGCTATGACAGGGTCAGAAAAAAGTTTTATTAAGATAAAATAGTGAGGGAGTGGGAAGTAGGTCAGCTACGCTAGCTTGACTATGACAACCATAATGTAAACGTGGAAGTCTGTGTGTTTCGGCTTCTTTAAAAACTAAAACAAAAGGCAACCACCAATTCTGACATCATCAGTGTTTAAACTAGCTAATCTGAACTAGCTGCGGTAGCTAATCTACCACAGCAATCATTTATTAATGATGAACATCAAGCCTGAAAACATGAAACTATAACAGGAAGTGTCTGAGAGTTCGTTTGGTGCTGAAACGTAAAGGGTTGACTTCTATAAAATAAATACTCACATGTTTCAGCTCCATTAACTTGTCTGGTCAGCTCTATCCTCTTCTTGTTGACGTGTTTAATGGCCCACCAGGTTTCCCTGTGTGCAACACAAAACACCTTTGAAATCAGCAATAATATTCTGCATAAAGACAAAAGAAAATTCAAGACAAATTTTCTTTGAAAATCTTAAAAAGGAGCTAAAATTTATTTATATGAAACATTTTGAAAAGACTTCAGAAAACAAACATGTCGCCTGAAATTTGACACCTTTGACGTCAATCCTGCTCTGAATGTCGTTTCTTTTCACCAAATGATCTATTTTGAGTCTACATTAACGATTAATCGATTACTAATTAGTTTATGATTATTTCAATAGTTAATCACAATAATCGTTTCGGCAAGTCAATCGCCAAATGACATAAGTGGAGATTTCCATCTAACTATCCTCCGCCTGCTAGCAGAGTGCATTACTGTCTGTAGAAACAAATAACAAAAATGTTTTTATCTTAAATGCAAAATATGTAGTTTTGTTCACTTTTGACTTACATGCTGCTCTGAAAATGTATTTCCACCAAAAAACCTTTTTTCGGTCTATATTGTCCAGTTAACGATTAATGAGTTTCTAAATGAGAGGACAATAATTTCAACAATCGATTAATCGGAATTAATCATGTCAGCCATAATCAGCTATAATTGAATATTTTTGGACTTTTATATATTGGGGGGTGTATGAATATATTTGAACCTGTATGTGTAATTTTAACTATTTAAACATAAAGAAACTCCAACTTTAAAATTTTGAAAACTCAAACCTAAGGTTTCATAAGATGCAAAACTGGCCTATAAACTCCAGTTTTGAAGTAGGAATTAATTGATTACACCATCAATTAACTGATTACTATATTAGCTGATGATCAATTCAACAATCGATTAATCACAATTAATTGTTTGCCAATGGGGTGAAAAGATTAATCGGTTAAAAAAAGGTACATAAATGGCCTGGAAATTCCACTCAATGATTAATCGATTAATAAATTAGCTGATGATCAATTGACTAATCACAATTAATCGTTTGCCATTAGGACTGAAACGATTAATCGGTTAAAAAAAGGCAAATAAATCATAAAAAGCAGGTGTGAAACAGGTTTTCTGCAGACAGAACATCCAGGTCTGCAGACTTTCCTAAACTGGAGATGAAACTCCCCAGCGGCGAAGACGCGACCGTCTGAAAGGAAAAAATAAGCTGCCTCTGTAGCAGCAACGCAAGGCCAGCTGCTCGGTCTGATTTAATATCGAGATTTGACTTTGAGAAACATGCAGTCGAATCGTGTCTCACTGCAGAGAAAACACCTTGGATTGAAGTTTTGCAGGTTGTCAAGGATGTTACATCATCATGTTTTCTCTCTTTGCGTTTCAATCACCTCAGGTCAGCAAGGAGAACTTCAGAAGTTCATCTGCGTCTCCGTTTAAACAAAAATAAACATCTTCCTGCTAAATACAGCTCTTTGTGTCACCCTCTCCGTATAGCACAGAAAAAATTAGCAGCAACAAATTAACGGTTGTGTTCAGACTGAAGGAGTTACAAAACCAGACACACACACAAATAAAAAAAATAAAATAAACAGAAAAGCAAACTGACGCATTCTGCAGCTCGCACTAAAACCAACTACCTAAATTCGCCCACACACTCTCTCTTTCTCTCGCCTCTCTCCAGCTCTCCGGCTTTCTTTCTCTGCACATGTGTGTGGGTGGGAAAGGAGTGTGCAGGAGTTGAAAATGTCAGAACTCACTAAGCCTTACCTTAAAATAGACGGTTTTTGCAAATAGCTGATATTTTCCATGGGCAGTTATCAGGGAGCCGTAGCTGGATCCTCTCTGGGAAGAAGAGGAGCAGAGGTGAGGAACAGACGTCTGTTATCGAGTTTCACATCAGAGAAATCAACAGGAATTACAAATCTGGATTCGTAAGAACCCGCTGTTAAATCTGCGTTTGTAATGATTGCAAAATGGAAAAGCGGAAAGCCGGAGAGGTTTGGAAAAACGGCCTTTTCCACTATCAGAGCAAGACAGTTAGTCGTTAGGAAGGTGTGTGCTTGTGATTTTCATGAACGCTTGCACGTGTGGGAGAGGAGATGCAAGGGGCTTTGCTCCCTGAATGTGAGGAGCGGGGCCAGACCCAGGGCTTACTTTAACGACCGTTTAATGTGCGTCTGCCGCTGCAAGCCCAGCCACCTTGGATCAAACCGCTGGAAAAGCTTTCAGGAATGTGTAAACGCGCAGAGCATTTGGGATTCTCTCAGGACTGCAGCTCAGATAGGAGCAAAAAAATAAATAAAAGAAATGGTTCGATCATAATTTCACATGAAATATTACAGATTTTGTTGCTTTCTTTTCTAAGAATTACAGAAAATATTCTCAAAAAGTGGATTTTATTTCAATAATCCTTTCTCTGAGTTGTAGGATGAAGTAGTAGAGAAAAGCTATGAGAATATTAGCAAATAAGGACAAAATTTTACCAGAAAAACGTCTTAAAATGATGAAAAGAAGATTCTAGAGTTGACATAATTTGAAGTTTTTTTTTTTTGTGAAAACGAAGGATGATCATCATTCCTCGTTTTATTTTTTCTTAGTTTCTATGTAGGAGTTCTCATAAAATTATGACTTTATTCTTTATTATTCTTATATTAACACTTTATTCCCATTATTTTGACTTCATATTGTTCTATTACAACTGTATTCTTGCTTTATGCAGAAGGTACGCGTCTAACCTTTGGTAACCATTGAGACAGTGCTGCACCGTCATGTAGCCTAGCATGTATGGAAACAACTGGTTAGCATCTCGTCTTCTGTACGTTTGTAATGCCGCTCCGGTTTAAACGCTGTTTATAACATAGTGACATAAATTATGTAGTGTGAATTCAGACAAAGTCGGTAATTTGATCAACACACCAGGAGAGAATGTGAATCCAGAAAACGGTTGAATGTGCAACGGCTTTTCCTTTTGTTCAGTTTCGTATTTATGCATCTCGATTCGTTATCGACAACAACTTGCAGCTCAGCGCTCCAACGTCCATAAACAGCGACTGCTATCACAACTTGAGATTGACGAGGTCGATTTCTAAGCTATTTCAACCTTATGTACATCCTGCCCTCCATGAGCCCAAACAGGTGAGCTACATTCACAAATTAGCTTGATGCTAACAAGTAGACGCCATGAATAAACTGGCAAAAACAACTTTGGAAAACATTTTCAGTTGCTCTGTTCAATACTCCCTTTCTGGTTGTAATGATGAACTCTGACTTGAACATTCAGAGTTACATAAAGACAGTTACAAAGTCGGCCTTCTATAATCTGAAGAACACCTTCAGGATTAAATATCCCAGAAGGAGCAAGAGAAACTCATCCAGGCGTTCCTTTTTAGTCACACTGCCTTTCAGACCTCTCAGGTCTCCTGGTTCTGGTCTAAAAAGAACCAGAACCGAACATGGAGAAGCAGCATTCGGTTTTTATTCTCCTCTAATCTGGAACAAAAGTCCAGAAAACTGAAAAATTGTCAGAACACCGAGTTCCTTTAAACCAAGGCTAAAGCCCCATTTATTTAGAGTTGCCTTTGATTAACAATTACTGGAACTTCGTGAGTTTAATCTGTATTCACGTTCCCATTACTTTTATTTAGCAGTCATCACTCTACAATATATTTAATTGCTTTGAATTGCCAATAAACTTGCCTTGCCTTTGACTAGACCAACCCAAAAAGTCATTGAGAGATGAACCGTAATCATTCCTGGGTGTAGCTGCAGAACTGAACTCAGATTCCCAAACAAATCTGGTTAATTTGTGGTTTAACTAGGCCTGCTTTCTTGGTTTAAATATTGGTTTTCCCCTTATTAAATGAAACTTTAAAACTGCTTTTTGAATTTCATCCAGTTTGATTAAATCAAACACAGTTCAAAATGGTAGCACAGCTCAATAAAAACCAAAACAAAGCTTTTAATGTGAGATCAAGTGGGTATCGCCTCATTTATGTGCTTTGCATCATTATTGGCTTTTAGTGCTGCACACCAATCTGTCCGAGTCTGTTTACCTGTGAGAGAGTCAACCTGCTGCCGGCTCGTTTGTGGTATTTATTGGGGCTTTCGAACTGAAGATCCTCCCACCGAATCCTCCACAGCATTCCAGCCAGCTCCTTCTCCAGCTTCAGTTTCCTGTTGAAAGCAAAGAAATAAAGGAGCACCTCGTTAAACTGACTAATTTTCCCACACGGATCAGATCTGGAGGAGGTAAGTTGGATAATTTCTGAAATAATAATGGGTGCAACAGCACCAGATGGGTTTAAATGGAAGAAAATCTGAATTTTCTGGGTTTGGAGAATCAAAGCAACATGGATTTAATCTGATAAGCGGTACCAGATTTGCTACATTTGCTTGGTTAGTTTGATCGCCCTCCCATGTTCAGAGATAACCATCTGGATCTGATGGTGACGTTCGTCACATCCAGTATTTTGTGTTAATCATTTGCGTTTTTTTTCTAAGATTTTAATTTCCCTGATCCTCATGTTCTTTTGCTGCGTTTTCTGCTTTATGGTCCAGAACAAGGAGTTCTTTGAATAAAAACACGGTACAAATTTATAATTTAGCCAAGATTATGTCTTCATCACTTGACAATGGAGCGTTTATAACTATCGGTTCAGCTTGTTCTTTAACAGATGTTAGTAAGATCATAAACAAGACATAGATGATAACTGAAGGCAAATAAAGAGATAAGAAAGGAGGCTTTACTGAATGAAAGCACCAGAGAGATGAAAACTCATGTAGCTAACATCAGCTCTGACCTTTGACACACATTTAACTGCTTATATTAAAGGGCACACTTCTGCTGATGCGCTAAAAGTGGAGCTATTAGCTATCAGCTGATCCTAATAGCTAATAGCTCTTTAGCTAACTTTGAGAAGACATTTACAGATCAAAATTATGTTTCTTGTTCCATTTGACAAGAAACATAATAAAAATTACATGTGAATAAGTTTGTTCACGCAATAAGTCATTGAAACCACATTGCATCGTCATCCTTCGACTACTTCCTGCTATCGTCTTCTTTGTTGTTTCCAGCAGTAGTAACTTCCTGTGATTTGCGTGATGACAAAAAAAAAAAAGTGTTTCCATTGGAGTTTTAGAAATAAACCAATTTTGGATAAACGACTTCATCCTAGCATCAAAACGTTTTGATTAATAAACGTGAGTTTTTCCAAAACTGCCGTGTTTCCAGAAAGGGAATTTATTCTAGTAATTCCAATTCACCCAAATTTACGGTTAAAAGAAACGCAGCTACTGGAACACATTCACCAATCCAGGCATTTACAGAGTTTCACTTCAAGAATATTTGATAAAACTCAAATTAATATCAAATCTTCTACACTGTAAAAACACAAAATCATACCAACTATTTTAGACTAGTTTATAGTGTGAATATCTTAATAGACTAGAATTAAGACAAAACAAGCTTTTGTATAAATAAATCAAAGCCCTAATTTATTTGATAATATACATATTTTAAATGAGTGCTAGAATCATTGAATGCAGTGAAAAAGTTTTCCTTCAGATTGAATTTTCATTGTTTGGCAGATTTTTGCTAATTATGGATGTATATTAATATTAAATATCTCACCCTGTACAACAGGCTTAATGAAATATCAGTTTTAAGAGACGCGTTTTTAAAGTTTAGTGGTTGAACTTCAGCAGACTGGGACGTGAGCTTCTCCACAATGACAAAACAAACACACCCACATGTCTGCACAGCTTAGCCAGAGTAATTCATCTCCTTTCTTAGTTAGTGATGCTTCTGACATGTTTGAGGATTATTTTTGAGCACCCATCTGACTGGCAGTCTCTCCAGAAGATGCATTCCAGCAAATCAACACATCACAACTAAAAATCGTACTGGAGCAGCTGCTTGCTTGACATTAATGATTCAACCCCAAGAACAGAAAAAGAAAAAATCAGAAATGAAACCTGCAGAAAGCTAGAAAGCATAGTTTCTTGATTTGTTTTTATTTGCTTTCCACTTCTCTTTTTTGCTGTTGTAAGGAAAAAGTAAGGGTTTTATTTATGGTTTGAAACGTAGACGTGAAAAACGAGCAGAGAGGAGGCATGCCAAGGCGATCCGAAAGGTGTAAAACACTTCCAGATGGCCGCAGGAAATTATTACAGCGTTAGCATGTCGCCCCGTTGTTCCCGTCCAGCCAACTTGGCCCTAGAAGTGGCTTCTTTATTAGTTTTTTGCCACTATGTCACCAGTATTAATTTTACTGTTGTGCAATCCAGCAGTCTAAATGAGACATGAGCATTTGGAGGACATTAAAGCGCCAGCGCCCCTCCACCACCACCACCAATTTTCTATTTAAAGGGTCTTGTTTAGAGACTTCTGGCAGCCAGAGGGGCGAAGTGTGGGGCTCCACACTGGGCCTATTGTTTCACCATTCCCATTTGTGAATACCTTCCTGCGGGACCGGCCCAAACCTTACCCCAAACCCGCCTCCATTAAAACAACAAAGTCACTGCTACTCTGCTCAACATCACCTCACACGTCCTGCTGCCCGGCAGACTCCAAAATCAACTCACAGCACCAGACAGTCAACCTGCCTGAACGTAAAGTCCAGGAACCAGCCTTCACTCTGTGCACATTTAGACTGAGAAATGTGGTTGTTTTGATGCAATAAACCCAAATATATGCATATAAAGGCACATTTCAGGACTTACTATAGAGAAAATCTGTGTTTTTTAAGAACTTCTTCACATTTGTGATTATAAAAATTGTTCTGGAAAAAGAACCCCAACTTTGACTTACTATCAACTAACTATTATTTTAGTAAACGATTGTAATCAAGAGTTTACAATTGGCCAAATTCCACATATTTTTTAATTTAATCACTACCATCTTTTTTTTAATAAGAAACCATTAATAGTTGCAACATCTTGCATTTGAAAGTAGTTTATTGCTTGAAATGCAACAGTATTTCTTTAGTCTACGCCTGATTATTTGTAGCAAAGGATTCATCTGCAGTCAAAAAATGTTTCCAATGTGTAAAACTCAACTCTTTCTGTTTGACCCAACATCATTTCAGTAAAGTTCTGGTTTTCCTTTTATTTTTTTATTACTTAGATGTAAAATGTGCTAAATAAGAGATTTATTTACAGAGTTTGAGCCAGGTGTAGATAAATCTGCCACTTGAGTTCAGGGTGACCCATATTTCGAATGTGATGTTCTCTCAGAAACTGACCTTTTTCAAAATCTTTATATAACGATTAATCAATTATAATTATTTAAATTGTCGATTAATCACGATTAATCGTTTCAGTCCTACTTCCAACTCAACATGGTGAACAAATCAAAGGAAAACAGAATATTTCATACACATTTTTCCTTTTATTTCATTCCATATTCTGTCAAAGTTTCACAACAGCATCACTTTGTGTATCAGAGGAAAATCTTGTTAAATCATCAATTCTTTCCTTTATAAAATACACCAGAATTAATATAAAATAGGTACAAATCATTCAAACCAACAATCCTTCGGATATCATAGGCTGCAATCGTGATTGAAAGTAAGTACACCCCGTCACCAGGTCCTGAAACTCTTTCAATCTAACCTCAAATGAGCAAAAAGACACAAAGCCGATTCAAACTGTCGATATTTATTGAGTTCCTGCTGAATCCAAGATGGCTGGGGTTGCTAGGTAACCGGGCAGAGCTCGGCTGGGGTTGCTAGGTAACCGGGCAGAGCTCGGCTGGGGTTGCTAGGTAACAGCATAGTGCCCACTGAATGCGACTCCATATTTGGCCGGTTTTAGAAACGGCTCAATGACCAGACACTAAAAACAATAACCAATGTTTCCAGAGACATTTATAATGTCTCTTGTTGGGCTGAAGCGATTAATCATTATTAATCAATAACTGAAATAATAGTCAACTAATAACTTAGCAATCAATTAATCATGAAGTGGAGTATACAAAGTCAAAAAATGCCCATTTGGTGAAAATAAACATATTCAGAGCAGTAAATAAACCAACATTTTGCATTTAAATCTGTTTTAAATGCAATCGGTATAAAATTACCTTCATTTATTTCAGATTTATAAAGGGAATGAAAGAAATTTTAATTTTAGAAAAATAAAACTTATTTTCTTAGGTGAAAATGAATTATTTGTGTAAGTTTTTAAATGAAGAATCTGTAGAATGTGGCTACTCCTTAATCTGATTTATTGATTAATCTTCACAATAATCGGTGGGTTTGATTACTAATAGTCGTTACTTGCAGCCCTTATTTCCTGTTGAAACATCTCGAATCTTCTAGCAACTTTTCCAGGCATGAGAAACTTCAGTAACTTGTTCTGAAACTGAACTATTTAACAAAGTAGCAAAACTTCGTAAAAGAAAAAACAGGTTTAATTCTGTTTACATGATTTTTCTGGATAGATGAGACAAAAACAAGAGAAAATGGCCATAAACACCTGACATCAACTGTTGTGATGATGCAAAATATTTGCAGGTTAAACTGTGACCAAATGTCATCAGTGGATCAATAATCCAAACAACTGCAAATCTCAAACTAAATGGTTGACCTAGTCAAAGTCCAGGCTGAAGTACTGCAGTAGCAGCAAATGTTATAATTAAATTAACTAATTTTTGTTCAATAAATAAGACAGTTTGTATCTTTGAGGTTCTGCTTGAACAACTCTGGGGCGTACTTACTTTTTAACCGCAATTGTATATATTCAAGAAAAACAGAATCAAAACAGCAGTAAATACACTTTTTAATTATACAAAAAATTTATTTCTTATCAAAAATATAGAAATTAAACACGTTTATCTCCCAGATATATGAATTGCACCTTGAGGTTGAGAAGCTTATCTTGTGTTCTGGGGAACCGCAGAACATTTCGGACATTTTAGTGGCATATTTGTGGGTCAAGTTGTAGAAATCAAAGGCCTGAGCAGCAGCAGCAGCTGGCTGACGTTAAAGGCAGCTGCTAAAAGCTCCGCTGTCCGCCGCTCAGTCCATCAGCAAAACCCGCGCTGCCGTCTGCAAAAACAGGAAGTCATCTGTTAGTCTCTGGTTTCAGGCTCCGAAAAACGACACAAATCTCACAGCTTAATGCAGGCAGGAAACAGAAAGTTCCCTCGAATGTCGTGGATGACGTTCAGATTTCGGTCGTTTTGTGGAAAAGTGTCTAAAAATAGTCGCAGTTGAGATGAAAGAACCAAAATGTGGGTCAGACCTACAAATACACGCCAGAATTTCCAGAACGCAAATAGAAACTTGTTGCTTTTGGGTTCAGATGCAGAGATGTGATAAAAGTATTAAAGATAACAGTTTTCTAACAAGGATTTCATTATAGACACCAAAATCAATCTATTTACCAGATTAAACTTCCTGTAAAAACAAAAAGTGGTAAAAAGTGAAACATTGACAATTCAGACACTTTATTGATCCTAAATTGAAATCAAATGTCGTTTCACTGCAAAAACACAAAATTTTACCAAGTATTTTTGTTTTCTTTCTAGAGCAAATATATTATAACACTTAAAATAAAACAAAACTGACTTATAAGTAACTTTTCAGCAGGAAATGGGAGCTTGACATTATGAAAGACAGGTGGACCGTCCCAGCAGAGGCCAACCTATCAAAATTACTCCAAAGGTGCAACAAGGACTGATTCAGGAGAAGAAGACGATGAAACATCTCAGATTTCAGGCTGCGTTCAAACAGCCACCAGAATCTGATCGTTTCACCCCAAAATATCCATTTTGTGCCTCTTTGAAAACACGAATCTGAATGTTTTCAAAGCGTCAACAGTCTGAATTGTCACTTTTACGTCATTAAAGTTACATCATGCATCATGATTCGTGACCAGAATAAATCAGATGCAATACATCGGGATGTAAACAAAAGCTGAAAATCATAATGATGAAATTACAAAAGACGTTTTTGTCACCCTGAGCTCCGACGACGGATCCAAACTGACTCTTTTGCTTCCTTTGTGTTGTTATGAATTTGTGATAATACTGTTCGCTCTCATCACTGCGTAAACTTTAGAGTAGATCCATAAATGCCGGCATCAGATTGATGATTGATGAACAGATTGATGCAGTTTGGCGTCAACGTTCTTCTTCTGCACATTTGGGTGAAACCGTTCGCACACAAGTCAGTGTTTTTTAATTAGTAAAATGGAAGACCGCGCGAAAAAAAAAATCATATTTTAGCGACAAAATCTCAGATTAAAAAAATGAAAAAATTATCTTATTTAAAAAAAAATCTTATTTCAGAAAGAAAAATTAATTCACAGCGAAGTAAAATGACCATTTATTGTCTGTAGGGGGAAAACAAAAATGTTGCTTTGTGTTTTTCCCTCCCAATTAATTAATAAAATCCTCGTTAGAAAACCGTTTTCTGCATCAACACTCATAACTGTCTTCATTGGATGATGTAAAAAATTTAAAAGTGACTAAAAAGAAGTGAAAACAGAAGAAATTAAAAGGGGGACAATATATTTTTTGGCACCGGTTACAAGAATTTTGAAAGGACGCCAAGAGAGTAAAACTTACCAGACAAGCATTCAGGAAAATTACCTAGTTTGGAAACCTTGAAGCGCTTGCTGAACTGTGAGCTGAAGAGAGGAGAAAAAAGAAGAAAGAGCTAATTGACTGAGAGTTAAGCACACTCTCTGGATCAAATTAAATGTTAGTTATTTCATGACTTGTTTTTTGGGGGGGGCAATTAAGTCAGATTTATGTTTAGTGGAATTACCTCGCGTGGACAGCTGCTCCTCCATCTTTCCTCCGACGCTCCTCTGATCAAAATCCATTCTGATTGGCTGGTGATTAACACTTGTTTGTGTTAATGGTCAGTATTGGATAAGTAATCAGATTACCGGTGTGATTTGTTAGCTGTGCAGTGGTGCGTAAGTTATAAGCTCAGAGTAAAACCGTCTAATACAGAAAAAGCAACAAAAGAAGAAGAAAAAAAAACTAATTTCCTTCCCTGTTTGCAGATATTACCCATGACATTAACCCCAGTGGTTATAAATCCCTTCCAGGAGTTTAATTACCTGGAGCATGCATGATTTACTGGGTGTAATTAAATAAGGCTTAATGCTACGACATAAAGATGTAGACGGTGCCACTTGGGACACTGAACCTATTTTGTTTCCGTTGTTTTTACAGCTGAATGTTCAGCAGAAAGTTAAAACCATTAGACAAGCTTTTATTTCTCCTTTAACACACACATAAAACTGAACAGCTCGGGGCGGCAGCCGCTAGTTAAACACTTAGCTCAACACCATAATCACTTAACGTTCAGGACACAATCATTTCTAAATTTAACCTGCATAAAACTAATTGCAGTCTGCAGGTCAGTGAAGTCGGGTACAAAAGCTTAAATTTAACCAGCTAGCTTAAATTCTGTGATTCCTGAAGCACTCAGTTTGTTTTTGTCTTTTTAAATGTGGTTATGACAAGTAGCGATGAGCAGTTAGCATCTAACCTCCATTTAATATTCTCCAGTTAGCTAACTTTTCATTTAGCACTTTAGCTAGCTTTTAAAACCTTTTGCACACTTAGCATCCCATAAATTAATTTTCCAGATCAATTTTAAAGCCCTAATTTACTTGATTATTTTATGAACTTTCAGTTGAGTGAAGTTTGACATGTGTTAAAACTTTGGTCAACCGTTAATAATTATTTAAGTAGTTAGATGTTTATATTCATGCTTTTATTTTGAAGAGGGAAGATCCATTTCCTCTCCTCACTTTCTCTTAAATAACTATTTAAATAAAAAAAACAAACAGGAACAAAATAAACAAACAGCAGAAAACAACATAAACATTAAACACAATATCTAAGGGAAATATGTGACACGTAAATAAAAATGTCAAAATCAAACTGGTTCTCAAACATTGTAGTCTTTTAGGGAGATATGTAATTTAAATTGAAGTTAGAGCATTAGCATTAGCTTCTGCTAGCTATCTTATTAGCATAGCGGTTTAGCATCAGCAAAACTAATGTTTATGATTTGTGCATTAGGGTTAGCACAGCTGATATTTTAGTTAGCAGTGGCCAACCCTGATAATCTGTAATATTCGTAATCAGATTTATAAAATCTAAATAAAATATATAAATAAAAAATATAAAAATTTTAATCATGAGATCAGTTCATACGTTTAACTGTTAGCCGCGGAGACGGGAACAGAGGAGCTACTTTCCAGATCTGTTGGAAGTTTTAACAAAACCTCTGCTTTTAATTCTATCTGTATTTAAAAAGAAAGAAAATAAATTAAATTAACTGAAAGGTGTAGAAAAAATATGCAAGATAAGGTTTTATTTGACTGATTTTTTTTGTATAATGTAACATAATTCCAAGTTGTAACATTTTATATCTTAAAATCCGACCGATAGCGAAGCTGAAAAGCCTGTTTGAGTTTTAAGGCATAATATATCTAATGATTAAAGTTAGACATTTTACCTTTAAAGATGATCTATTATGCTTTTTTAATCAGGTCAGAGTGATTCTATGAGCTACAAACCATGTTCATCAAGTTTTGCACAAATTGATTTAAATAATGAGATTTCAGTTTGCTCAGCTCTACCCCTGTTTAGCTGTTTTAGGGCGTCTTGTCACTTTAAATCCGAATGATCTGCTGCCGCCAACTCAACGTTTATATTCACACGTGAAAATGGATTCAAACAGACGTGCAGCTATACAACAGTACATCTTCGAAAACCAGAAGTGGAGCCTCCTGGACAACCAACAAGAATGCAGTCAGTGGTTTCTGAATGGCAGGTCAACAACAAAACTCTTGTCTTTTCCAGCAGCCATTGTACAGTGGCAAAACCAGCTGACCAAAGGAGCTGGGTGGCTAGGTAACAGGCTGGGCTTCTCTGCAGTTGCTACACTTGAAAATGATTTTTTTCCAGATACCAAAAAAGATTAACTTATGTGTTTTAGAAACCCAAATGGAAGTACAAAAATGAGCAAAATGTGAATTTTGCGCAACAGGTCCCCTTTAAAAACAAATGCTTTTCAGTCTCCATGTTTCTCAAACAAGCAGAGTTTTATTTTTTAACCCCAAGAGACAGAAATGAGCTTTTAAAACATGTAAATGATCATTAAGTGAGAGTGGCAGCTTTTAGGGGGCCAGCCTATGAGCTCACCTGGCAGCTTAGGCAAACCTCATCTCCGCATTTTGCAAAGTCACCTGCTGAGCTGCGTTACATAAACACACACCCGCCTCAAACAAACTCTTCTATAAAATTGCACTAAATCAGTCGCAGGAAAGAAAAGAAAGTTTTAAGCCAGCATTAGAGCCGTCGAACTCACCTGTAAATGAGAAAACTGGAGATCCCGAAGATGATGAGCGCTAATCCAGAACCGACAGCGACGATGCCCAGAACGGGGAGCTGACCTGGAAACAAGCAGGATAACAGCGTCACGGCCTCATATGTGCAGCAGATGGCCAGGATGGTTCTTAGAACTCTGAGGGAGAAATATGTGTGCTGAGAAAAATCACAGCTGCGCCGCTGCAGCCGTCTGTCAAACCACCAAACAGCACAACCATTTCACATCCCTGATGCGCATTTAAAACCCTAATTAAGTCCCGCAGTAAATCACTGCACAACCCGATAGCCATAATTATGGAAAATCTTTTCTTTTTTTTTTCCCACCCCATCTTACTGTCTTAATTTACTGCCATCTGAAGCCGACTGTGGATTTTAAGATTATGATCTACATATTTCAGCAGGTTAAATATGTGCAGAATTTAGGTGGAGTTCACAATGTGGGAAGAGCCGCAATAAAACGGAGAATTTTCACACACAGATTCGGTTTACCGGCCTGTACAGCAAGAAACCATCTGCAACACACCGCCGCAGTGGAAAACAGTGACACACACACACACACACACACACACACGCACACACACACACACACACACACACACACACACACACACACACACACACACACACACACACAATCTGAAACAACCCTGTCCATGCTGAGCAGAGATTAGAAAATACTGCAATGGCCATAAGTCTTGATGTACGGAAGAAGATTAGGGCCAATTTCTGAAAATATGCAGGGAAAAAAAGGAACAAGAGAGAAAATGTAATCTCTAGTTTTGAACCTTTAAAAGAAATTTCGGGGATAATTCAGTTCTCAAAAACTAAATTGAAGGCTTGATTTTTTTCTGTTGAAGTCTTATTGTCACCCAATTGTCTCAAATTAATCTCTTTTCTCAAAATTATACACACAAATACCCCATTATGACAACGAGGAAACAGTTTTTGCTCATTTGTTAAACAAAAACAACAAAATCACATTTATGTAAATAGTCACAACTTCTTTTTATGGTTTCAACATTTTGAATTGTGACACCATGTTATAGAAAATAACTACATGCCAATTAGAAGATTTTATATGGTTTTATTAGCAAACCCTTTCTGTGTGTTAGTGGTTTGTTTCTTGACACAATTAAATACTTTCAATTAGGCGAAAAGAAAGAAAAAAATGTGGATAAAATAACTTTTTCTAAAACCAAAACCAGTTTTAAGCTTCCTACAGATAAAATGAAGCATTAGCATTCCCTACAGTTTTATGTACAAATAAAGTGGGAAAAATGATTAAAAGTCAGTTGCGTGCGTCAATTTCCTAACAGTCCATTCATCACACCATACCATCGTTGCAGGAAGGGTCGTCTGTGGAAAACACACACGGCGGATTGTCCAGCGGCGGTCCACCGCAGGGCCAGTGGATCTTCTCCGTCTGCGACCAAATTATTTCTTTGCTGCTTCCGTTGAAGTACGCCACGACCTGCCGGCACACAAAATGGAGGCTAGCGTTAGCATCGGGGTGTTTTCACATCTGATAGTTGGGAAAACTTGGTTCCTTTTGAGACCAAAGTGGCAACGTTTGTTACGTTTTCAGCGACTGAGGTTCTCTCTCACGCTGCACTGTGTAAAAAAAAAACCTTTTTGAAAAAAGCGATTCCCCGCACCAAACAAAGAAAAAGCACGCCATTTCTTTAAATTACTTATTGTGCGAACAAACTTGTTCAAATGTGATTTTATTTTCATACTTAATAGAAACGGTGCAATTGCAAAATTGTGTTTTCCAACATTAGTAGAACATTGACAAAGTTTTGGCCACATTTATAATGGAAACAATTAATAATCGACATTTAACTTAATAATAAAATCTTGTTTTATTTTTAGGTTGAGATACATTGTGCATGTTGACATAAAGAGGAAAGTCATAAAAACTGCAGCACGCCATATAAGGTAACGAAATATTTTGAAGATGGTCTCTGGAAGCCAAACAGAGAAATGTTTACAGTTTTGTTTGGGTTGGGACTGTTGAATCTTTCAAACACCAGCTGTGAAGAGTCTTTTATCTCCTTAACAGCATTTTCACGATAAATTATCAGTGTAATGGTGTACAGTGTCTGTCTCTGGCAACCAGACAAGGAGGAAGTTCACCCAGAGGTCGGATTGTGCAAAGCTGAATGAGATTAACGTTAAGAAAAGAAACTCAAACAATATTAATTTTAACACATTTTGCTATAAAAAGACTGAAACGAGACTCATGCTGGGAAAGAGGAGACCAAAGTAAAGACGTTTAACTGTGATGTGCAGCACAAAATAAACAGAATATCTGCAGAAAAAGGTTTGTTTTGCAGCCGCTGATTTAAACATAAACTCTTCTGTAGGACTGAAACGATTAATTATGATTAATCAAATTGATTACTGAAATAATCTGCAGCTACTTGAGTCATCAATTAGACGAAAAAAAGACATTTGGTGAAAAAACAATATATTCAGAGCAGTAATTAGGCCAAAACTCTAATAAAAAATATATACATTTAGCATTTAAGAAAAAAGCAACTTTTTAGCCAAAACTTGTCAAAAACTCTCAGAAAAAGTCAGAAATCCAAGGGAAAAAAATCTCTGAATTTTGACATTAAAGTCTGAGAAATTTCAAAATTGTGAGAAAAAAAGTCAGAATTCTGAGAAAAAAAGTCAGGATTGCCAGATTAGTCAGAATCCTGAGAAAATTTTTCAACTCTGAGAAATTTCAAAATTGTATTTCTGAGAATAAAAAAATTAAAATTTTAAGAAAAAAAAAGACAGATTTCTGAGATTACAGTCAGAATTCAGAAAATGTCAGTTTTGTCAAAAAAAGGAAAGTTTTGTTCCTGATGTTCCCAAAACATCAGAGCAAAGTAAAAACACCCGGATGCTAAAATGTTGAAACTTCCTGAGACTCTAAACCTGGACTCACCCCAAACTCTCCCGTCTCCTGGTTGGTCATCGACCAAAGGTCCACATCTATGTTTCTCGCATTTTTGTCGTCTATGGTCACGAGTCCGGTGATTCCTAAGAGAAAAATAAGCAGCATTAATGCCATTTTCTGTATGACTGTTTGATATTTTTAAAGGCTTTTGGCCAAATTACGCCATGGAAAAACAACCATAATTAGCCATTTTAAGCTCAACAATGTTTGGCCTCTCTAAGTATGATACGCCACAACACTCATCACGCATAAAAACACTTTGGATTGAGGTGATTTGTAAAAATGTGCAATCTGGCTGTAATCACTGTAAGAAAGCTGCAGATTTAAATGAGATACTTTGCTTCGGTATTTAGTAGAACCAAACATTTGGCCTGGTTCAACAACAGAACGTTCATCAGCTGCTTATTTAACAGTAGATTCACATCAAAGGTTAAAACATATGTTGATGTTTCAGGGGTCAAGGCATGTTTTCTTGTGTGAAGTCATTTGAAAACAGGAAACAAAAAAGTAAAAACAAGAATCCATTCAAACAAACGAGACTAACTGTAAACTGGTGATTTAAAACTTATTTAGAAAGACAAAAATGAACAAAGAACTACAGTAAACATTTGTTTTTGTTTCCAAATAAACTACTGAGCATGTGATCTTAGTTTGCTGAGATTTATAATTCAGGTCCTGCATATAAAACAGGAGTATTATACAAATTAAAAAATGGCAATTTGGTGAAAAGAAACATATTCAGAGCAGTTATTAAGCCAAAACTGTACAAAGTAGCGAAGTGTTTTGTATTTGTCTATAAATGTGTCTCAGTACGGAAGAGGATTGGGCCACCGAAAGGAGAATATATTTTTTTTTCTAAGTCACAATTCTGAGAAAACAGACAAAATTCTAAGAAAAAGTTCAGATTCAGACTAAAAAACTCAAGACTTGTGAGATTAAAAATAGGGGAAAACAAGTAAAATTCTGAAGAAAAGAAATAAAAATTCAAACAAAAAACTAAATCTAAAAAACTAAATCTAAATTTGAAAGAAAATAAAAAAGAAATTAAAAATTCTGAGAAAAAAAACGGAATTCTAAAAAAAAAAGAAAACAACACTGTACCTTCACCAAGTTCAGATTTACTGTGTTGGTTACAATATTTTTCTTATTTAAAACAAAAATTTAATCATTTGCTTTTTTCCATCTTCTCTTGTATTTCTCATATTGTATAAAAAAGGTTTAAATGGACAAATAAGGAAATCTGCAGAATGTACCATTTTTTTTTATTTGATTAATCATCAGAATAATCGATTCGTCATTAGTATAATCGATTATTACAGCAATCGTCAGCTGCAGCTCTACAAATCAGCCATTTGTTTCAGATTAAATGAACAGGTTCTTGGTAGAAACGGGTCACCCCAGAATCGGCGGTTCTGCGTCCTCATCGTGATGTTGATGCCGTCGTTCTGCGCGCCGCCATCCGCCAGCGTGTCCTCCAGCGCCATGGCGTACAGCAGAAAGTCATAGAAACTGCCAGCGATGTAGTCCATCTGCAACAACAGGCGTTACTCAAACCAACGAGAACAAGAGTTTCTGCAGCAGCAAAACTGCATTTACTCTGCAGAATCGAAACAAAATGCTGCTTTTTTTTTTACGCTCTCACACATAAACTGACTACAGTAACTGCGAACAGAACTGTAAACCTCATTTCTCATTAAGTTCAAGCAATTACTCTGCACAGTGGGATGTTTTGTCCGTCTGATTATCCCATAAAAAATTAAAGAGGCTGTTGTGCAACCTAGAACTCACAGCAGTTTAATACTTACTAATGATGGCTCCAAATGAACACCAAAATCCCTCTGAGCTCTGGCATGGAGCCTCCTCTGGAAGTCCAGGTATTCTGGATTCTCTGGGTTGTGGTACGTGATGATGAAAACGGACTGCAGGAAGCACAAAACGGAGAAGACGATGGATCAGAAGAGAAACGTTTGGGTTCATTTCCAACCAGACGTGGAAAAAGCACCCAAAAGCTGTATTCAAGAAAGAGTAGAGCTACTTCAACATAAAAGTGCTGAGTAACTGATCAAATCACTTAATATCTAAAAATTACATCAGATGGACCAAAATATAAAATTATGTGGATATTTTGGTGTTTTAAGGAGGAAAATGATAATTCATATAAGTAAAAAAAAAAATCAAGACAAAAGAAAATGTTTCCAAATCAGTTTCTTTAAATATAAAACGTATGAAACTTTAATAAAAACTGCAGGTGTGTATCTGTGTTTTGGTTAAAACATGTTTGTTTTTCAGTCAGTGGGAAGAAAATCCAGAAATTTTACTCAAGAGTAGAAATAGTTTATAATAAAATTACTCAAGTAAAACTAACAAGTAAAGCGTAGTAAAAACACTCCTACAAGTTTCAGAAAAGTTACTCAAGTAAATGTATCTTAAATATCCAAGAAAACAAAATGACCAAAAATAATAAAAACACACACAACTGAAACCATAAATGTCAATAAAATATGTAAAAACATAATCTTGAGCTGATTTTAACCTATAATGTGATTGAGTTATAATATTACACATGAAACACCTTAAAGTTTGCTGTTGTTACGTGATAAAAACCGTGAAACATTAAATACCCGCGGTCCAAAAACAGAACCCTGGGGCGTTTTTAATAAAGTCTGTCAGCGTTGCTTTCTACTTAAGAAGCTGGGGAATCATATCTCGTGTCACAACAGTGATTAAAACCTCGCCTCAAACTTCCACAAGCAATTACTGCAGCAAAAAAACACCGTGTTGCCACAGCAAGAACCCACCAGCAAATCCAGGCAGAGAAAGACCTGCTGATTGTTTGACAACAACACCATAGATACACAGGGAAAGTGTCTGGAAGCATCGTTTTCCTTCACGGTTACATTTTAAGTTAACGTCTGCTTAACAAGACTTTTCTTGTAGTTCAGCTGAATGTTGTTGTAAATATTTTTAGCCAGAGTTGGTAACTGGCACCGATTCTTCAACTGAAAGAAAAACATTCATGCGACCCGAGATCGCATATCTTTCCACTAATTAGAGGTGACTCATTATCCTGCTGGGGCAACCCCGAAAACAACAATAAAAATGAACGAAAAAACATAGAAAAGTGTAAAATAGCATGTTTTTTTTTTTACAGGGTGGATTACAGAAGAACTGTAGGTTGGAGGGATGTGGCAGACGCCCAGGGCTCAGATTCTGGGGCTTCCCAAAAAATTATACATATTTATATTGTGCTTCATATAAAACTCTTAGATCCAAATCCGGTGAAGTGTGTTAATATTTCAGGATTTTGCTGAAAGTAAACGAAACCCAAGTATTAGAAAATTATGAAATTAGTAATTTTTGCTTTTTGGAAACAACATGTGACTGTTGGTCAGGTATTAAAACTTCTTATGCACCAATTAATTCCCCATCATCAGTGACAAAAACACTTCTGTCAACACGCTAACAACGAAGCTAATGTCGCTGTAATTTTATTTCTAAAAATGCTCAAAATTAAGGCATTAATTCAACTCAATTCAAAAACGCTGCACTGATTCCAAATGCCAACTAAACAATTAAAAAATTGCACCAAAAAAATACTGTCACTTCAGCTAATGGTGTAGCTAACTGTTAATTTAGTGCATTAATTAAATTCTATTCAAAAATATGTTATTGATCACAAATAAATATTAAATAATGAATAATTAGTGTTTTAACACCAGTATTGAATAAATAGCATTTTCTGCTAACTTTTGAAATGCTTAGAGCACTTAGCTTCCTCTAATTTAATCTCACCAGATACATTTTTATGTTTTGCAAACTTTCAGTTGACTAAAGATCATTATCTCTGTTAAAGTTTTGGTTTTAGACTATTAAAAACTCTTCAAGTAGTTAAAAGTTCATATTCCTTCTCTTATTTTGAAGTAGGTTAAAACAGTTCAGTTTCCTCTCCAAACACATCAAGAAATAAAAGTCAATTAATTCAATTATATTCATTCATAATGGGGTTATGATGCGGCCATGTTTTTCTAATAATACAAAATATAAAAAAGGGATTCAGGTTGCTGCCTTATTACAAAAAAAAATAAAATAAAATTTCAAATTTCCACATTTTTTGGCTCTAAAACTGTTTTGGTTTTGTTGGCCAGATTTTTACCATTTACCACAAATGGCCCACAGGCCACACTTTGAGCATCCCTGATAGACAAAAGCTGCCCATGAATATTGTTAATAGTTAGCATGCTAGCTAGAGCGCTTTGACATAACGCAACTAGTTTACAGAAATAGTTGATATTTTCAATATCAAATAAATAAATTGCTACAGATTTCAGTGACTGTTAGTAAAATAATAATACAATTCCTCTCCGGATTCTCCAAACTGACTCCTGTCTGCTCCTGCACGTTAGCTAGCAATTAAACAGCAGGAAACCGCCGCCTGACAGAAAACGCACTAATGGGGTTTCAGCACAATTGAAGCATTGTTTAGCTCAGACAGTAGTTGGCATTGTGAGATTTTAATTGTCTGTTCAGTTCAGTGAACCCTTTGGATCTGCTGTGACCCAGAAAACTAGTTTTGTACTGACAAAACTGAAGCCCAGCAACATTGTATAATCCTCAGAGTCCAGTTAGCCGGACGTTTAGCTGTCTCCAAATCGATCACGCTAACAGATGGTGGGGACCTGCTGGAGAGTTTACCTGTTGGAGTAAGAATCACAAACTTTATAAACCAACATAAAGTAGTGCATTGTGGTGATACAACCAAACTTGTAACCAATGGGAAAATTCAACTGCAGTAGCCCATGTTCAACCCAAAGAGGGCAGCACTAAAACAATTTTAGGCAGAATTAAACAAACATGTCACAATTTGTACAAAAATGTAAAGATAGCTCCTTTAAAGACCACTTTGTGCCATTCATCTTCAAAAAAAAGTTGATTTTAGTTACTGTTTAAAGTTTAATAATGAGTCCAATTGCTAAAAACTAAAAACAAGGTGGTGGCAGCATCATGCTGTGGGGACAGAGAACCTGCTAGAGGCTGAAGAAGACATGAAACTGGGGTGAAGGTTCATCCTCCAGCTGGACAATCACCCTAAACATGCAGCAAAAGATACAGTTGGATGGTTTAGCAGGCTTTAGAAAGGCCTAGTCAAAGCTCAGACAAAAATCTAGTTGAAAATATGTAACATGATACAAAAATGTATGCATTTCATCTGGCTGAGCTTGACTGATTCTGAAAGAATTGGTTGGAATAAAAATTAGCTGGAAGCGAGACCAGAATAAAGGAGCTAGAAACAAAGTATGCTATAATTTTCAAATATTTGTTTGAAAAACATTTAATTTACAATATGCATACGATGTGTTGGTTTATCACCTAAAATCCAATGAAAATGCATTAAAGTTTGTTTAATATGGCAAAATGGGAAAAAAAATGTACAACCCAATGGGAGAAATTGCCCAAGCAGCTGCAAAACCATATAGTCGAACAGCAGTGAGTGGATGTGCTACAACAATCTCATCTGAAAAAATGAAGAGAATATTAATAAGACATGTCTGCATGGCATTCAGGGAGATAAATTAGGGGAGCATCTTCTGTGGTGTCTTATTTCACATGGTGCTAATTTGTAGAGCTTCCTGTAAAAACATGTCTACTCTTTCATTAATGTCACGCAGGAATTCAACTCCCTGAATCGTGACGACGTCTTCTGCCCGGGAGACTATTTGGCAGCGTCCGCTGCGCTCGTTAAGGAGCGTCTTTAACATCTGTCACGAACAGAGAAGTGTTTTTCATTCTCCAAGCTTTCAAACAAACGGCAGTGAAAGGAAATGTTTTCTGTCTGTACCTTGAAGACCTTGACGGCATTGGCCCAGTCAAAGTTCGCCTTCTGCCACGGCTTGCGGTCGGGTCCGAAGTCGTCCAGACGATGGCGTAGTTCTGTCTGGATGTCTTCTCCTTCTGGAGTGTCTTCCTGGAACAGCTTCATGATGCTCATGAAGGACTCCAGCGGCCCGCAGATGTAGATAACTGCAGGAGGAGAAGAGAAAATTAGCTGGAAGGAAAACAAAATAATGCACAGTTAGAGGGTCGTGAATGAGTCGTCTTTTCTCCACTGTCCTGAAGTTAGACTCAAGAATCTGGTAGATCCAGTGCAACTGGCACCAAAGTTACAACATTTGTTACAATTTCAGTGCTGAAAATGTAACAAAATTAGTTTGAGTTAAACAAACAAAACTAATTAAAAAGGCTGTTCCCCTCCTCGCCTGTAGGGTGCTGCACCAAGAGCCACTGAAGGAAACAACAGGAAAACCTATGAGGAAGACACTGAGCACAACTTTCTACTTCACAAAATGTAAACAAAAAAGGAGTCAGATTCTTGTATCTTTAGTAAAATACCACAAACTGTTTCTACTGCTAGCACTAGCCTAGCGTGTTTGTATGGTTTCATTTACCCAGAATGCCCTATGCTGTAGCCCACTTCCTAGTTTTAGATCACTCTCAGGTCCGCTTGATGTTCAGAGTTCACTTCAATAAAACCAGGACCGAGGTTTGTAGGCGGACCAGAGTTTGCATTTTTGGTCCAATTACGAGTTCAAACTCCCTCAAAAGAACCAAACTTTCTAGATAAATGAATTACAATTTGATTAAAGCACTAAATAGAGCTTGTGTGATCCATCCTAAAATGAATCCTTGATAATTTAAACCAGAAGTTGGCATAAGAAACATCTTTATCTTTTCATCTGAGGTCAAATGAGACCAAACGTCTCTAATTTCAGGTCAATCAGAGTCACCAAAATCTAAATCTGCGAAAGAAACTGAGATTTACTCATTTATTTATTAAAGTCTGAAGCAAACCAACCAAAAGTCAGAAAAGACACAAAGTGAGATTCAGGTTGAGGTGGAGGCGCTGCCCCTTCATAGAAAAGCATCCTGGGTAGAGAGCCACACAAACAGCATCACAACCAGAGATCTTTTAAACTTTAACTAATTAAAACCCAATCCTTTGAAAATGATCTTATCACAATTACATGGAATAAAAACTACCATGAATAAGCAGACATCCAGCGTCTGCTCCTTTATTTTTCACTGTGTGTTTTTCTTTTCTTATGTGAACCCAGGAGTCATTTTCTCTCTGGCAGAATGACAAAAGCTTTCATGTTCACTTATTGTAATGAAATTAGCTCTAGCTTTTGATGACAAGCTTTGAGAGTCGCCCTGATTTTCAATGCCGTCTGATTCTGATAAAAAGATGAAATTAGAATTTATAAAAAGGGTCATTGAGATTCAACCAGATTATCTGAACTTTATGCATTGAGAATCAGAACTGGACAGAAAAATCCTTCAGAATATTAAATGATAATGAATATGATGGATGTATGGATGGATTTCTCAGGAAGTCCACCCATCTATCTGTCCATCCATCCATCCTCTCGCTCTCAGCAGTGAGAATCGGCCTGAATCGTGTTTCCATCCCGGCGGTGGAAGCTGTCTTCTCCCCCCACACCCTGCTGAGTCACACAGAGAAACCAGCTTTCCTTCCCGCTCATGTTGGAGCCTCTGCTGCTGCCAGCTGGAAGCCCGACTGCCTGGTTAGCAGACGTTTCCTCATGAGCTGCTGCCGCTCTTAACGCTCAGCTCTTCCAGCACGGTTCGCCATGCCAGGAGTTCCCGCCGCCTGGACACGACCCAGAAACAACACCCAAACCCACCTGAAGAAATGTTCTCCCATGTTTCAGCCTTTCACTTTGCGTAAAACATCCAACACCAGTTGCTAATTTTAACCTATTCGCATTATTCAAACTCCTTTGGCGTTTGGCACAACTTGTCAACTTACAGACTCAAACACATGGCTGTAAAGAGGAAGAAAAATTATTTGATGGGTTACTGTAATAGTAACCAATTTTCCTGGACGATGAATAGTCACAGAAGTTGTCGCAATAAACAATAATATTATTGTTTGAGACCATTTAGAAGTAATGGCAAAATCATGCAAAAACTCATTCTAAAATATCAATTAACTTTAAATTCTAATGAACATTTAACACTGGAACTGTGAAACATTTAAACATTCATAATTATTAAAACAACAGATAAAATTAATATTGAAGTCTCTGAATACAAAACAGTCCTTCAAAAACAAAAAAAAGAGGCTAGTTGAAACCAAAACACCAAACTGAAGACTTTTACAATCCAGTTTTTGGTAGCAAAACAGAAAAGAGAAAAGCGACAAATCACACAAATGGAAAGTACTGAACTCGTTTCTGGCCGGTCTATATTAAACCACTAAATAAAATCCACCCCAGTCAGTTTCCACAAACAAATGTAGCTTTTATAGAAGAAAAATCTCACAAAGTCAGCAAAATTTATAAAGAAAACAGAAAACATGTTGAAGAAAGTTCAGGTCGGATTTCCCAGGGTTTTCAATCAGCTAAAATCTATGAATACTTGAGTAGGGCTGAAAGGATTAATCAAATTAATTGTGATTAATTGATTATTGAAATAATATTTAACTATTTTAATTTAGTGTACAGATTCAAAAAATGTTATTTTGTGGAACAAAAAACATTCAGAGCAGTAAATATGCCAAAACTGTACAAGAAACATCCATTTTGAATTTAAGATTTTAGAAAATAAAACCTTCATCTGTAAATATAGTTTAGCCAAAGCTCCTAAAGTGATATAGTTTTATCTTCATCTGATTCAGATTTACTAAAGAAATGCTTTGGTATTGCAATTCAGGCTACAAAATGTTTAATTACTTATTTCAAAATGAATATTTTTTTATTTACAACACTGTATAAAAAGGCTTAATCAGCAAAAATGAAAATCTGTGGAATGAGACATTGTTCATACGATTAATTATGAGAATGACCGATTAATCGATTACTAAAATAAACATTAGCTGAAGCCCTAATAAAACCTTCAAAGAACAATTACAACTGCCAGTTAGCTAACGCTAGCTCCAAGAACGTCATTGAACGCCTTTCTGTCGTGGAATTCCCAAAACAAACAAGTCAAAAATAAAGCTAAACAATGTATGAAATAATACTATTCTACAAACTAAATATTTATTGATTAATATTGTACTAAACATGTAGTACGGTTATGTCCTCCCGGAGCTAACAGCTAGCATAAGCAGACGGCACGGTGCTAACTACTGCTAGCAAAACAAGCTAGCTGTTGCTAGCTTGCTACGTTGAGCTAAATTGATAAAACGCCAGGAGGATGTCTTATCAACTTAATAAATTCATCTCTAAAATATTTTTTGTCGAGTCATTTGCAGCTCACCGCCTTGCTGTGGCCGTCATTTTCACTTCCACGGACAGAAACCTTTTTAATAACGGAGGAAGTTGCTGAAGAACTCGTCATTGAACTGAAATGGGATTTTCCCCACTGAAGGTGGAAATGTTCGTTAAGATAAAAAATAACTTTTAACGAGGTAATTCTAAGAGGACGGTGTAGTGACATATGTGTGTTAAAACCCCCACAACTGAACATTTTGACGTCTCCGCTTGAAGTTTCAGCATCTTTAAAGTTCGACGGCTACGTCACTGCGAGAATTAAAACATGGCGGATTTGCTAAAGTGGGGTAGCCGGAAGTTCATGACCTTATTTAGTAGTTCAGGAGCAAATAGTGACATAACAGCTAAACAAGAGTGAAAATAGTAAAAAGCAGCCATCCAAGAAATGACTCCAATAATTATATATTTCTGAATAAATATTTATTTCTCCAATAAATAAGTATTTCTGAAAAGATCTACTCAATTACTGAGTAACTGATCAAATTATCGATCATTTAATATTAGAAATTACAAAGTTAAGTGGAAAATTTGGTATTTAAGGGACCAAAATGACAATAATTCATATAAGTAACAAAAAAAACAACAAAATCAGGCAAAATGTTTTTAAATTCCTAATCAATTTCTTTCAAGAAAAACATAAACTTTAACTAGACCTTCAGGTTTGTGTCTGTCTGGTGAATTTTTGGTTAAAACATGTTTGTTTTTCTGTCGGTAGAAAATCCAGAAAATTTACTCAAGTAAGAGTAGAAATACTTCATAATAAAGTTACTCAAGTGAAAGTAAAAAGTACAGCATACTAAAGGTATACATAATTGTAGAAGTAACTAGTTAATGTCCAACGTTGATCGGGAGAAACTTAATTCAATTTTTGTGTATTTGTTGGGACTCTGACTATCCAACAAAATGTATTTAAGAGCTAGAAAAGTGGATTTTGCCAAGTTACAGTCCAAATGAGAATCTAGTAAACATCTAACCTCCAAAGACTTGCTCGTATATTTGCAATAAAAGCTGCTACTGGGAATTATGGATTCACAGAAGGCTGAATATGTTGATTCATCACATAAAATCCCAATAAAATCAAGTTTATTTAACAACTTCTGGGACTGTCATTCTCCTCACTAGTTCTGAGAACTGTAAAGTTTTGGTTCACAATTTAAAAAAGACCCACAGGTTCCCAGCATCGCATTACCAAGAATTACAAAATCATTACATGGGAGTCTGACCCACCTTCCTTCTGGGTTACTATCAAGATGGATCCCAGAGAACAGCCCTGTTCCACTGAAAGCGTCCTTCATTTTCTGAGAAATGCCAACAGATTTGTGAAAGTTAATGTCCTCATATGGCCTCAGCGTCAGAAACGGACTTTAATCATGCAGAACGATTCTCAGAATCAGCAGGAAGTTATCAGTAACAAGTATTGTTTTTCTTTCACTGCTTGTCCGTTGGTTGGAGTTTCTCCTGCTAATTAAACGTTAGCGGTAAAAAGTTTAACTGCCTGTGTCTGCAGATCATAAGCTCTAAAATGTACCTTTTAAATTTTCACATTTTCACTCACGCTGCTCTCTCAAACATTGTCAAGGACCTTGAGAACATCTGGAGGTATTCTCAAGCGATGACAATTGAATAACAGTTTATTTTTATAACGATAAACACCCTGCTGTTTGTTTCTATTAATACCGCATTACGTCAGACTTCATTGATCATGTCAGAGGCAAATAAGTGTCC